CATGCAGCCCATGATGCATGGTCATCTGGATGGTGATAATTTCCACCGAAATACAACACCGCCTGAGCTCTGCGAGCGCAGCATTTTTCCAAATGAAGCAGAGAGTGTTTGAGGACCGGGACATCCATAGGGATACCAAGGTGCTTGTTTATAGAGCTATTGTCCTCCCAACCCTGCTATATGCCTGTGAGACGTGGACTGTCTACAGACGTCACATGCAACTCCTGGAACGATTCCATCAGCGCTGCCTCCGGAAAATCCTGCAAATCTTGGGAAGACAAGCAGACAAATGTCAGCGTGCTGGAAGAAGCAAAGACCACCAGCATTGAAGCGATGGTCCTCCACCATCAACTCCGCTGGACTGGCCACGTTGTCTGGATGCCCGACCACTGTTTCCCAAAGCAGTTGCTCCATTTCCGAACTCAAGAATGGAAAACGGAATGTTGGTGGCAGGAAAAGAGATTTAAAGATGGGCTCAAAGCCAACCTTAAAAACTCTGGCATAGACCATGAGAACTGGGCTACAGGCCTGAGCCAACCTTAAAAACTCTGGCATAGACACTGAGAACTGGGAAGCCCTGGCCCTTGAGCGCTCCAGTTGGAGGTCAGCTGTGACCAGCAGTGCTGCAGAATTTGAAGAGGCACGAATGGAGGGCGAAAGGGAGAAGCGTGCCAAGAGGAGGGCGTGTCAAGCCAACCCCGACCGAGACCGCCTTCCACCTGGAAACCAATGCCCTCACTGCGGAAGAAGATGCAGAGCAAGAATAGGGCTCCACAGCCACATACGGACCCACAAGAATACTGGAAGACAATCCTCCTCGGAAAATGAGGGATCGCCTAAGTTAAATTAAGATAATTTCCATACCTCACCTTACAAGATATTTAGAAGTAGTTACAAGAAATGACTCTGTTGATCAACCGTTCATTGCAGATTTTCCATTGTCTCTATTACAGATTGCTGTGATGCCAATTGCAATATCAATGTCTACTCCTGAGTTTTGAAGCCAGTGATTTTGGCTATTTCCTTGGACAGAAAGCCATAATAGGTAAGTCTTATCTTAAATCTATATACTGCATATACTCGAGTATAAGCCTAGTTTTTCAGCCCTTTTTTTCAGGCTTATACTCGAGTCAAGGTTATTTATTATTTTACTCTGTTGTCGTTATTATTATTATTACACGTATTATTTATTCTAGTTATTATTATTATTATTATATTTATCATTTTCCTCCATTATTATTACATTATTTTTTACTTTATAACTGTTTACTGCTACATTCATTATTTTACTCTTTTATTACTATTATTACATTTCCAATATTTTACTCTATTATTATTATTATTACATTTATTATTTTACTCTATTATTATTGGAAGGATACGTAAGCACATTTACGTTGAAGAAGGTTAGAATAATGGTTTAATCAGAGTTTGACAGTCTTATCTTAAATTACTGTTTTATGTAAATATTCAAAAACATTTCACCTACTGATGCCTCAATTAATGTAATTTTATTGATATCTATTTTTATTTTGAAATTCACCATTAGCTGCTGCATTTCCCACCTCAGCTTATACTCGAGTCAATACATTTTTCCCAGTTTTTTGTGGTAAAATTAGGTACATCGGCTTATATTTGGGTCGGCTTATACGCGAGTATATTATATATATATATATATATATATATATATATACACACACACACACACACACACACACACACACACACACACACATACACACACATATACATACACGGTATATATAAATGCTCTGTACATAATTAGTACCTTAAAAACAAAAGAACCTATGAACGAAATCACACCAAATTTGGCAACAAAATGTCTCACTACACAAGGAGTGACCATCAATCAAAAAAGTATGATTTTGTCATTTGGGAGTTGTAGTTGCTGGGATTTATAGTTCACCTACAATCAAAGAGCATTCTGAACTCCACCAACAATCGAATTGAACCAAACTTGGCACACAGAATCCCATGACCAACAGAAAATACTGAAAGGGTTTGGTGGGCATTGACCATGAATTTTGGAATTGTAGTTCACCTCCATCCAGGGAACACTGTGGACTCAAACAATGATGGATCTGGACCAAACTTGACAGGAATACTCAATATGCCCAAATGCAATGGCAAGAGTGCAACAGGACCCAAAGGAATGGGGGCAGTCTGCTGAACAGGCCATTGAATAAGCCAGTGGTGCTCCGGGCATCCTTACGGGAGCTGCGGTGATTCCAGTCCAATAAGGGCAGAATCCCAAGCAAGTGCACAAAAAGCACAGGAGGGGGGGTGGGCAAGCAAAGCAAGGCCTGTCAATGTATCGTCGAAGGCTTTCATGGCCGGAATCACTGGGTTGTTGTAGGTTTTTTCGGGCTATATGGCCATGTTCTAGAGGCATTTTCTCCTGACGTTTCACCTGCATCTATGGCAAGCATCCTCAGAGGTAGTGAGGTCTGTTGGAACTAGGAAAATGGGTTTATATATCTGTGGAATGACCAGGGTGGGACAAAGAACTCTTGTCTTTTGGAGCTAGGTGTGAATGCTTCAACTGACCACCTTGATTAGCATTTGATGGCCTGGCAGTTATTGGGGGAATCCTTTGTTGAGAGGTAATTAGATCACTGGGTTGTTGCAGATTTTTCGGGCTAAATTGCCATGTTCTAAAGGCATTCCCTCCTGATGTTTCGCCTGCATCTATGACAAGCACCCTCAGAGTCGTGAGGTCTGTTGGAACTAGGAAAAAGGGTTTATTTATCTGTGGAATGACCAGGGTGGGACAAAGGACTCTTGTCTTGGAGCTAGGTGTGAATGTTTCAACTGACCACCTTGATTAGCATTTGATGGCCTGGCAGTTATTGGGGGAATCTTTTGTTGAGAGGTAATTAGATCACTGGGTTGTTGCAGATTTTTCGGGCTATATGGCCATGTTCTAAAGGCATTCCCTCCTGACGTTTCGCCTGCATCTATGGCAAGCATCCTCAGAGGTAGTGAGGTCTATTGGAACTAGGAAAGTGGGTTTATATATCTGTGAAATGACCGGGGTGGGGCAAAGAACTCTTGCCTGTTGGAGCTAGGTGCGAATGTTTCAACTGACCACCTTGATTAGCATTTATTTACTTACTTACTTTATTTGTATACCGCTCTTCTCAGCCCTTAGGTGACTCAGAGAGGTTTACAACAATTTAGGTATACACAATACAAAATCATTAAGCATTTAAAAGCAATAGCATCACAAATCATTAAACATCAATATCAATACATCACTACATCAATATAACAAATCCATCAGGTCTCATCAATTAAATCAGAATCCAAACTCGTTATCCGATATTCCGTGTTCCGATAGTCAATCAATCACACTGCTTAGTCGAATGCCTATTCCGGGGTCCTCAAACTTTTTAAACGGAGGGCCAGGTCACAGTCCCTCAAACTGTTGGAGGGCCGGATTATAATCTGAAAAAACATGAATGAATTCCTATGCACACTGCACATATCTTATTTGTTGTGCAAAAAACACAGAAAATAATAAAATAATTAAAATGAACAATTTTAACAAATATAAAATTATTAGTATTTCAATGGGAAGTATGGGTCTACTTTTGGCTGATGAGATAGGATTGTTGTTGTTGTGCTTTCAAGTCATTTCAGACTTAGGTTGACCCTGAGAGAGGGCCGGGAAAATGACCTTGGAGGGCCACATCCGGCCCCCGGGCCTTAGTTTGAGGACACCTGTTCTAAGGTCATTCTCTCCTGACGTTTCACCTGCATCTATGGCAAGCATCCTCAGAGGTAGTGAGGTCTATTGGAACTAGGAAAGTGGGTTTATATATCTGTGAAATGACCAGGGTGGGGCAAAGAACTTTTGTCTGCTGGAGCTAGGTGTGAATGTTTCAACTGACCACCTTGATTAGCATTTGATGGCCTGGCAGTGCCTGGGGGAATCTTTTGTTGAGAGGTGATTAGATCACTGGGTTGTTGTAGATTTTTCAGGCTATATGGCCATGTTCTAAGGCAAGGGTCCTCAAACTTTTTAAACAGAGGGCCAGGTCACATTCCCTCAAACTGTTGGAGGGCCAGATTACAATTTGGGGGGAAAATGAATGAATTCCTATGCACGCTCCACATATCTTATTCGTAGTGCAAAAAACACTTTAAAACAATACAATAATTAAAATGAAGAACAATTTCAACAAATATAAACTTATTAGTATTTCAATGGGAAGTGTGGGCCTGCTTTTGGCTGATGAGATACGATTGTTGTTATTGTTGTGTGCTTTCAAGTTGTTTCAGACTTATGTTGACCCTGAGCCTTGGAGGGCCACATCCGGCCCCCGGGCCTTAGTTTGAGGACCCCTGGCCTATTCAAACAGCCAGGTCTTTACTTTCCTCCGGAATGCTAGCAAGGAGGGGGTCGATCTAATATCTGCAGGAAGGGCGTTCCACAGCCGAGGGGCCACCACTGAGAAGGCCCTGTCTCTCGTCCCCGCTAGGCGTGCTTGTGAAGCTGGCGGGATCGAGAGCAGGGCCTCCCCAGACGATCTTAATGTCCTAACTGGTTCATAGGAGGAGACGCGTTCGGACAGATAGGTCGGGCCAGAACCGTTTAGGGCTTTGATGGCCTGGCAGTGCCTGGGGAAATCTTTTGTTGAGAGGTGATTAGATCACTGGGTTGTTGCAGATTTTTCGGGTTATATGGCCATGTTCTAAGGGCATTCTCTCCTGACGTTTCGCCTGCATCGATGGCAGGCATCCTCGGAGGTTGTGAGGTCCCTACAATCTCTGAGGATGCCTGCCATAGATGCAGGCGAAACGTCAGAAGGGAATGCTGCTAGAACGTGGCCTTACAGCCCCAAAACCTACAACAACCCAAGGCCTGTGGGTTTGAGGATTGACAAGAGCGGTCAGAAGCAAGGACTGGGCGGCCATTCCTCCTCGAGGGGCTTCGGAGGGTCCAGGCCGAGGGGAAGGGCGTCCCGGGGCCTCACCTGGGATACAGGGCAGAGCTGTGGCGCCTCCGGAAGCAGCTGGCTCCTTCGCTTCCTTCACCGCCGCAGGAGGAAGGTGAATGCGTCTGCCACCCCCGGGAATCTAGTGCGCATGCGCTTAACCACGTGCACTTCCTCTTCCGCCTCGTCCGACGTTCTGCAGACTTTCCGTGCAGAAGGAGTAAGCCAGGAAGCAGCGCGCTGTTAGGGTCAGAGTCCTCCCCTTTTCAGTCACGTGACGGGCTTGCCAGAGAATAGATAGAGATTCCTTGTTGTGTCTAACCTATGGCAACCCTAAGATTACTCTTATCTAGAAATGAGTGAGTTGCCCAAGGTCGCTCAGGCCAGCAATCAGGAGGCTTAATGCAGCTGTACTTCACACCAGGGGCATAAATACTACTACTACTACTACTACTACTCATCATCATCATCATCTATATAAATAAAAATGTAATGTTGGTTTGTGGGATTAACAAAACTCAAAAACCAGTGGGTCAATTGACACCAAATTTGAACAGCATACACCTAACAATCCAATCTATGTTCTTCACTCAATTTTTTTTGATTGTGTCATTTGGGATTTGTAGTTGCTGGGATTTATTGTTCACCTACAATCAAAGAGCATTCTGAACTCCACCAATGATGGAATTGGGCCAAACTTAGCAAACAGGGCTCCCGTGACCAACAGAAAAAACTGGAAGGGTTTGGTGGACATTGACCTTGAGTTTGGGAGTTGTAGTTCACCCACATCCAGAGAGCACTGTGGACCCAAACAATGATAGATCTGGACCAAACTTGGCACAAATATTCCATATTCCCAAATATGAACACAGATGGAGTTTAAGGGAAATAGACCTTGACATTTCGGAGTTGTAGTTGCTGGGATTTATAATTCACCTACAATCAAAGAGCATTCTGAACTCCACCAATGATGGAATTGAACCAATCTTGGCAGATAGGACTCACATGACCAACAGAAAACACTAGAAGGGTTTGGTGGGCATTGACCTTGAGTTTGAGAGTTGCAGTTCACCCACATCCAGAGAGCACTGTGGACTCAAACAATGATACATCTGGACCAAACTTGGCACAAATATTCCATATGTCCAAATATGAACACAGATGGAGTTTGGGGAAAATAGACCTCGACATTTGGGAGTTGTAGTTACTGGGATTTATAGTTCACCTACAATCAAAGAGCATTCTGAACCCCACAAACGACAGAATTGGGGCAAACGTCCCACACAGAACACCCACGATCAACAGAAAATACTTAAGGCCATCCAGTCCAACTCTCTTCACCAGGGCAAGAAAATGTAATCAGAGCCCTCCTGACAAGGAGCCCTCCTGACAAGGAGCCATCCAGCCATAGATATAGATAGATAGATATGATTCACACACACACACAGATATCGTATCATAGATTTGAAAGAGACCCCTAAAGAAGGACTATGATATGTTGCATGTTCCAGGGTGGGCAAACCAGACACTCTCCACATCAACACTGACAAGAAGAAATACTGTTTACTCACAAGCATAAAGGAATTACATATATTAGAAACCAATACTTTCTCATTACTTTATTTTCTAGATCACCAGACTGGGCCACAGCAACACGTGGCAGGAGACAGCTAGTAAATAATAATAATAAACTTTATTTCTACCCCGCCACCATCTCCCCTTTCTTCTCATGATGTGGCCAAAGTATTTCATCTTTGCCTCTAATATCCTTCCCTCCAATTAGCATCGATGCTTTTGAGCTGTGGTGTTGGAGGAGAGTGCTGAGAGTGCCTTGGACTGCGAGAAGATCCAACCAGTCCATCCTCCAGGAAATAAAGCCCGACTGCTCACTGGAGGGAAAGATACTAGAGACAAAGTTGAAGTACTTTGGCCACATCATGAGGAGACAGGAAAGCCTAGAGAAGACAATTATGCTGGGGAAAGTGGAAGGCAAAAGGAAGAGGGGCCGACCAAGGGCAAGATGGATGGATGGCATCCTTGAAGTGACTGGACTGACCTTGAGGGAGCTGGGGGTGGTAACAGCGACAGGGAGCTCTGGCGTGGGCTGGTCCATGAGGTCACAAAGAGTCGGAGACGACTGAACGAATGAACAACAAATGGACTGGTTGGATCTTCTCGCAGTCCAAGGCACTCTCAGAACTTTCCTCCAACACCACAGTTCAAAAGCATCTATCTTCCTTCACTCAGCCTTCCCTATGGTCCAGCTCTCACATCCGTAGGTGACTATGGGGAATACCATTGCTTTAACTATGCGGATCTTCGTTGCCAGTGTGATGTCTCTACTCTTCACTATTTTATCAAGATTGGTCATTGCTCTCCTCCAAGAAGTAAGCGTCTCCTGATTTCCTGGCTGCAGTCTGCGTCTGCAGTAATCTTTGCACCTAGAAATACAAAGTCTGTCACGGCCTCCACGTCTTCTCCTTCTATTTCCCAGTTATCAATCATTCTTGTTGCCATAATCTTGGTTTTTTTTTTTAAGTTTAGCTGCAACCCAGCTTTTGCACTTTCTTCATTCACCTTGATTAGAAGGCTCCTCGGCTTCTCCTCGAAAGGCCATCAAAGTGGTATCATCTGCATATCTGAGGTTGTTAATGTTTCTTCCAGCAATTTTCACCCCAGCCTTGCATTTGTCAAGCCCTGCACATCACATGATGTGTTCTGCATACAAGTTGAATAGGTTGGGTGAGAGTATACAACCTTGCTGTACGCCTTTCCCAATCTTGAACCAGTCTGTTGTTCCATGGTCAGTTCTGACTGTTGCTACTTGGTCCTTATACAGATTCCTCAGGAGAGAGACAAGGTGATTTGGTATGCCCATACCACCAAGCACTTGCCACAATTTATTATGATCCACACAGTCAAAGGCTTTAGAATAGTCAATGAAACAGAAATAGATGTTTTTCTGAAACTCCCTGCCTTTCTTCATTATCCAGCGGATATTGGCAATCTGGTCTCTGGTTCCTCTGCCTTTTCTAAACCCAGCTTGTACAGTGCATCTGGCAATTCTCCAAGGAGTCTTCCTTGCAGGATCTTGAGCATTACTTTACTCGCATGAGAAATAAGGGCCACTGTATGGAAGTTTGAGCAGTCTTTAGCATTTCCCTTTTTTGGTATGGGGATATAAGTTGATTTTTTCCAGTCTGATGGCCAATAACATTGCCATCATCAACAACAACATATTACATCAAGATAAAACCAAAACAAGCAACATCATCAAAATTACATTAAAAATTCAATAACAAAATAGCATTACAATAAACAAAAAGCACAGACATAGTAAACAGGTGGCGGGCCACGTGTACAGGATAAAATGTTAAAAACTATAATGAGATAAAAATAGGAGCAAGTTATTTGCTGGGAGCTCATAAAAATACACAGGGTTGTGAAACTAACTTCCCATTTTTTTTGGGGGGGGGGCTGTATTCCAGTGATAGCAGCGTTGAGGGGAAGCGTTGATAAAGCAGGCAGCCCCGCATTTCTGTCGCCTGCAGAATTCTGGGGAACGTAGTTTAGGATGGGGCCTTTCAGGGCCCTTCCACAGAGCCATATAATCCAGAATATCATGGCAAAAAATCCTACAATATTTGCTTTGAACTGGGTTATCTGAGTCCACACTGTCATATATCTAGCTCATACCAGACAAGATTCTGGAAAAGATTGTTAAGGAAGTGGTCTGCAAACACTTAGAAACAAATGCGGTCATCGCTAATAGTCAACATGGATTTATCAAAAACAAATCATGCCAGACTAATCTGATCTCTTTTTTTGATAGAGTTACAAGCTGGGCAGATGCGGGGAATGCCATGGATGCAGCGTATCTGGATTTCAGTAAGGCCTCCAACAAGGTCCCTCACGACCTTCTGGCAAGGAAACTAGTCCAATGTGGGCTAGGCAAAACTACAGTTAGATGGATCTGTAATTGGTTAAGCGGACGAACACAGAGGGTGATTCTCCCCAATGCTTCCTCTTCATCCTGGAAAGAAGTGACGAGCGGAGTGCCACAAGTAGGGTTCCCTCCTGGGCCCGGTCCTGTTCAATATCTTTATTAATGACTTAGATGAAGGGCTAGAAGGCAGGATCATCAAGTTTGCAGACAACACCAAATTGGGAGGGATAGCCAATACTCCAGAGGACAGGAGCAGAATTCAAAACGATCTTGACAGATTAGAGAGATGGGCCAAAACTAACAAAATGAAGTTCAACAGTGACAAATGCAAGATACTCCACTTAGGCAGAAAAAACAAAAGGCAAAGATACTATAATATGCTGTGTTCAGGTTGGTTCCTCAGGTGCTCTGCTATGGCTGACTTCTCTGGTTGAAGTAGTCTCCAGTGCCTTTCATGTTCCTTGATTCGTGTTTGGGCAATGCTGCGTTTGGTGGCCCTATGTAGACTTGTCCACAGCTGCATGCTACATGGTAGACTCCTGCAGAAGTGAGAGGATCCCTCTTGTCCTTTGCTGAATGTAGCATTTGTTGGATTTTCTTGGTGGGTCTGTACATAGCTTGTATGTTGTGTTTCCTCATCAGCTTCCCTATACGGTCAGTGGTCCCCTTGATGTATGGCAAGAACACTTTTCCTCTGGGTGGATTCTTTGTCTTTACTCTCTTATGTTTTGTGTTTAACTGCAACCCGGTTTTTGCACTTTCTTCTTGATTAGAAGGCTCCTCAGCTCCTCCTAACTTTCAGCCATCAAAGTGGTGTCATCTGCATATCTAAGGTTGTTAATGTTTCCTCCAGCAATTTTAACCTGTTAAGAATTGTACCTGTTAGTAATTTTAACCGGCTGTTAGGAATTGTGGGAGTTGAAGTCCAAAACACCTGCAGGGCGGAAATTCTCCCATGCCTGGGCCATAGTAATATTCATTTCCTATTAGTTTGTACTTTGGGGGACAGTAGTGGGGCTCAGTATTTATTTATCGTGTCATCCGCAACCAGAACATTGTATTACATTTCTAACAGAACAAAACAAACAAACAGATTAAAAAAAACAAATTTTGCAAACTTGGTAGCTGATTAAATGTTTTGACCAGTATCTGGCCACTTGGAGTGCCTCTGGTGTTGCCGCAAGAAGGTCCTCCATTGTGCATGTGGCAGGGCTCAGGTTGCATTGCAGCAGGTGGTCAGTGGTTTGCTCTTCTCCACACTCGCATGTCGTGGATTCAACTGTGTAACCCCATTTCTTAAGGTTGGCTCTGCATCTCGTGGTGCCAGAGCGCAGTCTGTTCAGCGCCTTCCAAGTCGCCCAGTCTTCTGTGTGCCCAGGGGGGAGTCTCTCATCTGGTATCACCCACAGATTGAGGTGCTGGGTTTGAGCCTGCCACTTTTGGACTCTCGCTTGCTGAGGTGTTCCAGCGAGTGTCTCTGTAGATCTAAGAAAACTATTTCGTGATTTAAGTCGTTGACGTGCTGGCTGATACCCAAACAAGGGATGAGCTGGAGATGTCTCTGCCTTGGTCCTTTCACTATTGGCTGCTACTTCCGGGTGGATGTCAGGTGGTGCAATACCGGCTAAGCAGTGTAATTTCTCCAGTGGTGTAGGGCGCAGACACCCCGTGATAATGCGGCATGTCTCATTAAGAGCCACATCTACTGTTTTAGTGTGGTGAGATGTGTCCCACACTGGGCATGCATACTCAGCAGCAGAGTAGCATAGCGCAAGGGCGGATGTCTTTACTGTGTCTGGTTGTGATCCCCAGGTTGTGCCAGTCAGCTTTCGTATGATATTGTTTCTAGCACCCACTTTTTGCTTGATGTTCAGGCAGTGCTTCTTTTAGGTCAGGGCACGGTCCAGAGTGACTCCCAGGTATTTGGGTGCGCTGCAATGCTCCAGTGGGACTTCCCAGGTGATCCTCAGAGCTTGGGATGCTTGTCTGTCTTCAGATGAAAAGCACATGTCTGTGTTTTAGATGGATTAGGGATCAGCTGGTTTTCCCTGTAATAGGCAGTAAGAGCACCTAGTGCTTCGGAGAGCTTCTGTTCAACCATCTCAAAGCTCCCTGCTTGAGCGGTAATGGCACGATCATCAGCATAGATGAAGCTCTCTGTCCCTTCTGGCAGTGGCTGGTCATTTGTGTAAATATTGAACATGGATGGAGCAAGCACGCTCCCCTGAGGCAGGCTGTTCTTCTGTTTCTGCCATCTGCTTCTCTGGCCCTGGAACTCAATAAAAAAGCTCCTTTTTGTAGCAGGTTTCCTATGAGGCGGGTGAGGTGGTAGTCGTCTGTGATATTATACATTTTTCTCAGGAGGAGGCGGTGGTTCACAGTATCATAGGCTGCTGACAAGTCTATGAAGACAGCTCCTGTGATCTGCTGCCTTTCAAAGCCATCTTCTATGTGCTGAGTCAGGTTCAGCACTTGCGATGTGCAGCTTTTGCCTTTCCTGAAGCCAGCTTGTTGTGGAATCAGACAGGGGTCTATATTTTCCATCCTTTAAACCCCCCCCCCCCCCCCCCCCCCCCCCCCCCCCCCCCCCCCCCCCCCCCCCCCCCCCCCCCCCCCCCCCCCCCCCCCCCCCCCCCCCCCCCCCCCCCCCCCCCCCCCCCCCCCCCCCCCCCCCCCCCCCCCCCCCCCCCACCCCCCTCTCTTCTCTCCAGAACTTTGTAGAGGTGACACAACAGGGAGATTGGTCTATAGCTTTTTGGGTCATTACGGTCTTTGCCTGGCTTCAAGATGGCGATGACTCTTTCTTTCCTCCAGATTTTGGGGATCTGACAGGATGTAGTGCAGTTGTTCATCAGCAGCCAGCACCTTGCTTTGGACCAAAGTTCTTGATTTGTTCCATTTGCAGATCATCCAGGCCAGTTCTTTGCCATTCTCCACTGCAGGCTGGAATCTTGCAATCCTGCGAGGAGGCTTCTCTCATGTCCCCCATCAAAGTGGTGTCATCTGCATATCTAAGGTTGTTAATGTTTCCTCCAGCAATTTTAACCTGTTAGGAATTTTAACCGGCTGTCCTAAATTGTGGGAGTTGCAGGGCGGAAATTTTCCCATGCCTGGCCCATAGTAATATTCATTTCCTATTAGTTTGTACTTTGGGGGACAGTAGGGGGGGGCTCAGTACAAAGCAGCGAGAAGGAACAACACCGGCCACCAGCGGAGGGGCTGGGGCTCTTTTGCGCATGTCGAGAGGGCCAGGCCCCGCCCCCTTTCTTTGACAGCCTCCCTCAGGAAAGCGCGCGGGAACAGGGCCGGAAGTGCGCGCGCCGTCACGCCGACGTGAAAGGCGAAAGGTCGGCCAGAGGGGCGGGGCTCCGCGCGCGCACGTTCGCTGCCTGGCTCGCCCGCGCGGTCGGTCGGAGCGGCCTGAGGCCCATGTGGATCGACGGCGGAAGTCGCCCAACCGCCAGCCCCGAGTCGAGGTCTCCGGCCCCCGGCAGCTATGAAGGGGTGAGTGCGGCGCCGGCCGTCCCAACCAGCACCCGGCGGCGGCGGTGGTTGTGTGCCGTCCCCGCCCGTCTTCGGGAGTTGAGGCGAGGGGGCCCGCTCGTGTTGCCGGGCCTCGCGCAAAGACAGCGCTGAGCCGCGGGTGGGAAGAGGGGGGAAGGAAGGCGCGGGAGGCCTGCGCGGAGGGGGGCCCTCGCGCCAGTGGAACACGCGGGAACGGTTTTCATAGAGGGCTTTCCCACACAGACATGTAACCCGCAATATCAAGGCAGGTAATCTATATAAATAAAAATGTAATGTTTGTTTGTGGGATGAACAGAACTCAAAAACCACTGGACGAATTGACACCAAATTTGGACACAAGACACCTAACAAACAACTCAATGCATGTCCTTCACTATAAAAATGATTTTGTCATTTGGGAGTTGTTGCTGGGATTTATAGTTCACCTACAATCAAAGAGCATTCTGAACCACACCAACGATGTAATTGAACCAAACTTGGCACACAGTTCTCCCATGATCAAGAGAAAATACTGGAAGGGTTTGGTGGGCAGTGTCCTTTGGTTTTGGAGTTGTAGTTCACCTACATCCAGAGAGCACTGTGGACTCAGACAATGATGGATCTGGACCAAACTCGACACGAATACTCAATATGCCCAAATGTGGAGTTTGGGGAAAATAGAATCTTGAAATTTGGGAGTTGTAGTTGCTGGGATGTATAGTTCACCTACAATCACAGAGCATTCTGAACCCCACCAACAATAGGATTGGGCCAAACCTTCCACACAGAACCCCCATGACAACCAGAGTGGGCCACAGCAACGCGTGGCAGGGGACGGCTAGTAAATAAATAAAAATATAATGTTCGTTTGTGGGATTAACAGAACTCAAAAACCAATGGACGAATTGACAGCCAATTTGGACACAAGACACCTAACAACCCAATGTATGTCCTTCACTCAAAAAATGATTTTGTCATTTGGGAGTTGTTGTTGCTGGGATTTATAGTTCACCTACAATCAAAGAGCATTGTGAACCACACCAGCGATGTAATTGAACCAAACTTGGCACACAGTTCTCCCATGACCAAGAGAAAATACTGGAAGGGTTTGGTGGGCAGTGTCCTTTGGTTTTGGAGTTGTAGTTCACCTACATCCAGAGAGCACTGTGGACTCAAACAATGATGGATCTGGACCAAACTCTACACGAATACTCAATATGCCCAAATGTGGAGTTTGGGGAAAATAGAATCTTGAAATTTGGGAGTTGTAGTTGCTTGGATTTATAGTTCACCTACAATCACAGAGCATTCTGAACCCCACCAACGATAGAACTGGGCCAAACCTTCCACACAGAACACCCATGACAACCAGAGTGGGCCACAGCAACGCGTGGCAGGGGACGGCTAGTAAATAAATAAAAATATAATGTTCATTTGTGGGATTAACAGAACTCAAAAACCAATGGACGAATTGACAGCAAATTTGGACACAAGACACCTAACAACCCAATGTATGTCCTTCACTCAAAAAAATTGATTTTGTCATTTGGGTTGTAGTTGCTGGGATTAATATTTCACCTACAATCAAAGAGCATTCTGAACCCCATCAACGATGGAATTGAAGCAAACTTGGCACACAGTTCTCCCATGACAAACAGAAAATACTGGAAGGGTTTGGTGGGCATTGGCCTTGTGTTTGGGAGTTGTAGTTCACCTACATTCAGAGAGCACTGTGGACTCGAACAATGTAGTTGTAGTTCACCAGAGAGCACAGCATGATGGATCTGGACCAAACTTCGCATGAATACTCAATATGCCCAAATGTGTACACTGGTGGAGTTTGGAGAAAATAGAATCTTGACATTTGGGAGTTGTAGTTGCTGGGATTTGTAGTTCACCTACAATCACAGAGCATTCTGAACCCCAGCAATGATCGATTTGGGCCAAACCTCCCACACAGAACTCCCGGAGTGGGCCACAGCTAGTCTTCTATATATATAAAAAATGTAATGTTCGTTTGTGGGGTTAACATAACTCAGAAACCACTGAACGAATTGACACCAAATTTGGATACAAGACACCTATCAGGCCAACGGGTTACCATCACATATAAAAACACTGAAAAACATAGCAGAAGGGACTTAAAAAGCAAAAAAACAAACAAAAAAACCCCAAGGATATGCTGCAGCACATGGCAACCAAAACACACAATAGCATATCCACACACTCTTCCGGACTACATCTCCCAGCATCCCCTAGACCAGGCCCTTTAGGAGAGGAGGAGGATCCAAATGCACTGCTTCCAAGATGCAAGCTTGCTTCTCCTTGGATTTCTTTGAGAGCATCCCAATCCCTATGTATTTCCAATTCCCTATTCCTGGACTGCAACTCCCAGCAATTCTCCAGATAAATAGATTAGATCAGTGGTTCTTAATCTGTGGGTCTGGAGATGTTTTGGCCTTCAACTCTTAGAAATTTAATTTAAATTTAAAACTTTATTTATACCCCACTACCATCTCCTCATGGGACTCAGTGTGGCTTACATGAGGCAGAGCCCACAATACAAACAATAACAATACAATACAAACAGTTAAAATAAATCTCATAACACAAAAGCATAAGCATTAAACAAAATACAGTGCACAATTCAAATCTATGGCTGTGCCAAATGTAGTTAAAGTTTAAAAAATAATGCTAGGCATGAACAAGATACAAGAGGTAGGGCGTTGACAGAAACATACAAGCAGTCCTAAATCGATATAAAGTGCTTTTTGGGGACATAATGCTAAGGGTTCATTATTTTGGGAAGGCACACTGGAACATCCACGTTTTCAAACTTCTCCTGAAGACTGCCAGAGATGGGGCATGCCTGATGTCCTTAGGGAGTGAGTTCCAGAGTCGAGGGGCCACCACTGAGAAGGCTCTCTCCCTCGTCCCCACCAATCGTGCTTGCGATGCAGGTGGGAGCGTGAGTAGGGCCTCTCCAGATGATCGAAGAGATCGTGTGGGTTTGTACACAGAAATGCGGTCACGCAGGTAGGCAGGTCCCAAACCATTCAGGGCTTTGTAGGTAAGAACCTGCACCTTGAATTGGGTCCGGAAGATAAATGGCAGCCACTGGAGCTCCTTAAACAGGAGGGTTGACCGCTCCCTGTAAGGGGCACCAGTTACAACCTGGCCACTGCCCTAACAGCTGGTAAACTGGCTGGGATTTCTGGGAGTTGTAGGCCAAAACACCTGGGGACCCACTGGTTGAGAAACACTGGATTAGATAGAGGTAGGTAGGTAGATCAGAAGGACTGCTGGGAGTTGCAGTCCAAAAATAGGTAGAGAAGGAAGAAAGAAAAGAGGGGGAGGAAGGGAAGAGGAAGAGAAGGAAAGAGAGAATGAAAGAAAAAAAGAAAAGGAAGGAGAGAAAGAAAGAGGGAGGGTAGGCTGGCCACAGCAATGCGTGGCGGGTACGTCCATAATATCTGCTTTGAATTGGGTTATCAGAGCCCACACTGCCATATATCCCAGTTCAAAGCAGATAATGTAGGATTTTATTCAGCTGTGTGGAAGGGGCCAGAGAAATGGCTGGTCTTGACATTTCAGGAGCCCGAACCCCTGGTTGTGTGCTGTGTAGTAGCCTTGTCAGCAAAAAGTGAGAGGCAGCGAAAGTTATTTTTTACGCCTTGCTGGTGAGGGGTCAAGTTACGCTCTGAGGGCCCATATCATCCTTATTATTAAAACAGATGATCCACAGTATCTGCTTTGAACTGGATAATATGAGTCCACACTTCCGTATAATCCATATTAGATAATCTGGGTTTTATATAGCAGTGTAGAAGGGGCCTGTGTCTCTACTTGAGGGCTGCTTGGCCAGCCTTCCCCCCATCTGCTTCCTTTGCTGTGTTTGGAACAAACTCTCCTTATCTCCAGCCAGGCTGGTAGCAATGCCCTCCAATATACCTTGAGGGCCTCTTAACTTTTTCCATTTGCGACCCATTTGGGCCCAAGAAGTTTTTACATGATTTCAGGCTTTTGGAAAATGGCATTCATAACCTTTTAGAAAACACCTTTTGAAGATCATAACTTTTTAAGAAGAACACGACCTTTCAGAGAAGAGCCAAAAACCCTTTAGGGTAGAGTGTTTTGTTGTGGTATACAACCAGATGTAATTATGCTAGATCAGGCATGGGATAACTTTGGCCCTCCAGGTGTTTGGACTTCATCTCTCACAATTTCTAACAGCTGGTAGACTTTTAGGAATTGTGGATGTTGACGTCTATAACGCCTGGATGGTTTTAGTTAGACTGAGTAACCTGTTGGTTAGGGAAGCAATGATTTTGCCAGTGCATAAAAAACAGCACTGCTTCAGAAGTGTTTTTCAGTGCTCAAAAATACATGCTCTCCTATAAAAAAACTTGTCTTATATCATGCACTCAATTTTGATAAAAATCAAAGTCGACTTTGACAAAAATAATGTATTTGATTTACTCACAACCATCATCATGTGTTCAGCATACACAGGTACAAAACTTTTCAGTCCCATTTCAGATATGTTTGAGATAATTCTCTGTGCCATCTGGCCAGAACATCTCTTGCAACAAAAATGGCAAACAGGTGTGTAATCTGAGGTCAGTAGTGATCCTGTGGTCTGAAGCCCTTTTTATAACTTCTCGGGAACCATAAAGGAAGATGCACACCAGAACATACATACAGGAAACAGCAACAGGATCAGAGATAAACATTACGCTTGAATAAGGTTGTCATTTCCAACACAGGCATATAAAAATAGATATCAAAAACAAACATTTCCTGTTAACAAATCCACATTTGTGAGGTGTGTTGTTTTGGTAGAGAATAGAAGCAAGCCTCATTCATTAAAGTGAAGTGTAACAGTTGGCATTAAGACAAGGCTGGGATTGTGAGTTGCAACACTTACTGACTGGCCACTTACAATTTAAACAGACAACAATACCATTTTCAATTTTACTGTGTATAAAAGCACATGTGACTTTTCCAGGAGCTAAAAATATTTTAGTTCATTTGTCCTGCAGATACTATAAGGTAGTGACATGATTATTTTAGGAGGCCTCAGGTACAATGCACATGTCCTTACTTTCTAGGAATACTCACCTAGAAATATAACTTTTAGGATTGATTTAAAGCAACAACTGTTCCATGAACAATTTGATGTTAAGAGAATTTGAACTGAAATTGCTTATTAATATAATTATTATTTTTATTTTGGTGGCTATATTTATAAATGTATGCTACTTTAATGTGATATAGTAGCTGGTGAGGTAGGCTGGAAAGGTCTTCCTCTTTGTTGTGGTGCTCAGTGTACTCAGTAAAGAATTCTGGTAAGAGCTGCTATTTATTTAATTTTATTTTTTTTGCCCTCAGGCACAAATAACTACAATGGGTTCATTTAAAGCAGAATTCCATTATTATTCAGCACAAACATTTATTGAATTGTTCACTGTATATACACTCCCGCAACCTTTCACTACAGGCAGTCCCTGAGTTGTAAACATCCAACTTGCAAACTACTCATAGTTACAAATGGGGGTGAGATAACAGGAAGTGAGAGAAATCTATCCCTTGGAAGGGAATTTCATTTCTGAAAGAGTTATCATGGGGGAAAGGTGTCTCAACTGAAACTTTATCACCAATCCTTGTTTCTATAACAAGCCAGGAGCCCCCAATGGTGCAATGGGTTACATCCTTGTGCCAGTAGGACTGAAGACCGACAGGTCGAAGGTTCGAATCTGGGGAGAGCATAGATGAGCTTTCTCTGTCAGCTCCAGCTCCCCATGTGGGGACATGAGAGACGCCTCCCACTAGGATAGTAAAACAAAAAAACATCCAGGCATCCCCTGGGTAACATCCTTGCAGACAGCCAAGTCTCTCACATCAGAAGTGACTTGCAGTTTCTCCAGTCAAAGTCCAATTTTCACAGGGATAGAAAGTGAGATGAAATCTTCTGAACAGGCACAGAGTAAAATACAAACACCACAGGAGTGTTAACCCTTCCCTATGCTATCCAAAGCTTAAATGGATAGATAGACAGGCTGGAGTTACAATTACAAAATGTACCTGTTCTGACTTTCTTACAAATTCAACTTAAGAACAAACCTACAGAACCATGTCTTGTTCATAACTTAGAGACTGCCTATAAAAGTCTGTGTTTCTCAAGATATCATTCACCTTCCTCCTCTTCCTTCTACTATTTCCAATTAGATGATAAATACGAGGACAGATGATGTAAAAAGACTTTATAAGGGATGTAAAAATACTTTATAAAGTGAATTTTCTATGTCAGAAGCTTTCTTAACTGAGGTATACCTGTATAGCTTGACTATTTTATTTATTTATATACTACATTTGTATACAGCTGTTCTCCACCGAGGGAACTCAAAGCGGTTCCAACATTAAAAGGCAAAATTCAATGCCATACATATATGTGAAAACCAAAACATAATAGCTAGACAATAACATATAACTATAAATTGAAAACCTAACCAAATTAAAACATAAAATAACATTTAGACATAAAGCATAAAAATTAAACATCAATAATGCAATAACATTTATATTAAAACCCACCCATAAACAACATGATTTAAAAACAGTTATTAAAATCATGCAATCAAAAATCAAATCCACAGTCGTTCCATTGGTCCAGTCACTCTATTCCTTATCCGAAATACTTGGGACCAGAAGTTTTTTAGATTGTGAAATACAGTCAGCCTTCCACATTCACTGGGATCAGAAGCACATGTCCCCCATGAAAGAGAAAGGCAGAAAATAAACTGCATTTTTTATTTGAGAGAACACCACTCTAGGAATTTCTAGACCTTCCAGCATGACTCTACTAGAAACTGACCGAAGTATTGTATTGGAGAGTCTAAAACAGTGGTCCCAACATTTTTTGGCCCTGTCTCTCCTATGCATCTCTAAAATCTTGACACCCCACTCCCAGTGACATACAAGTTGTATTCAAAAACTGAAGCCTTATTTGCTTGGAGGAAGCCTAAAAGCCATTAACATAGTCTAAACTAGCTTCCAAAGAACATGACATCCATGAGAAAAAAATAAAGAACAAAAGGACAATTGAAGTACTGAGGAAAAAATCACTAAGAAATTGTTGGAATGTGAAAAAAATAGCAAAGATTCAAAATATAATAGAGAACTGAAATGCATTAATATAAAATAATTTTAATGAAAGCTTTTTCTGTAATACTGTGAACATTTTAAGTACATCATTTGTTGATTGTTAATGATGTGTTAATGCACATTCTTTCTATGCTTGTCATCTATTCAAAAGGTTCTGTTCCCTAAAAATTAACACAGGTACGTTAAGTATCCATGAAGATACCAGGAAAAAATCATGGGAATAGAAAATGCGAGATTTCTATGCTCGAACCTAACGCATATCAATTTTTTCTAATGAAAACACTTTGTGTTTAGTAAAGTTAAGTAGAACAGCTATCACATGGGTAGTAGTAATATTCAAGGCACAATTGATTTGAGTAACCTGCATCGAATTCAGGGTAACTTAAGTGACCAACTTCATTGCATGTATTTAATGAGAAGATGCTATAATATCTTGTCACCTAATGTTAATTTTCTTGTAGCTGATAATCTTTTTATAATCATGTAAAATAATTGTCTTACGTATGAAAGTAACAGATTTCTTGCTACATTCATATGCAGAACAAAATATCTTTATCTGTATAAATAAAAATGTAATATTCGTTTGTGGGATTAACAGAACTCAGAAACCACTGGACAAATTGACACCAAATGTGAACACAAGACACCTCAAGTCAACGAGTGACCATCAGTTCTCTATTATAAAAACACTGAAAAGCATAGCAGAAGGGACTTAAAAAAACAAAACAACAACAACATTACAACACATGCGCAAAACCACATATATATACCCAAATGCACATATATACACACATATATGCATATACATACACAAAACACATACACAGAAAGGAAGAAGGAAGGGAGAGAAGGAGGGTGAAAGGAGAGCAGGAAGGAAAGAAAGAATGGTAGAGAAGGAAGGAGGGAGAGAACAAGGGAAAGAAGGAGGAAAGAAGGGGGAAGTAATGGGATGGCAATAATATAATTTTTTGTTTGATTCTTCCATTTTGGGTTTTTTAAACATCTTTTTTCTTTTTCAATTCGTTGGATTTAGGTTAAATTTCTGAAAATACAATAAAATTAATATAAAGGAAATTGCAATTGGTAAAGAATGTTGCTGTGAATGAAAGAAATCTTTCAAATCTTTACAAATTATCAGTTTCTAAGCCTAATTAAAACTTTGTTATCATGGTTAAACCTAAATTAGTGCTCCTGATCTAATGTGGATGGTCAACAAATTATTAATTTAAGCTTACTGTTCTAAATACTGTCAGTCTCCCACTTTTGCAGGACTTGATAATTTGTGGGTGCGTTGTTGCCCCTCCAAGCCTGACTCTCCTCCCAATGTCTGAGGCTAGTCATAGCTTTAAGGAGTCTAGGAAGACAGCTGGGGCAAGGGGGCGGGGGACTGAGTCTTTGATAGCCTTATCCTTTTCCACCTGCCCCTCCGCCTCCCCCCACAACCACCCAGAGCTCATGTGGAGGTTCAGTGATTCTCACCCTGTGGGTCCCAAGATGTTTTGGCCTTCAACCACCAGAAATCCTAACAGCTGGTAAACCGGCTGGGATTTCTGGGAGTTGTAGGCCAAAACACCTGGGGACCCACAAGTTGAGAACTACTGCCTAGTTGCCCTGGAAGGAAACAGTAGAGAGGGTGCTGGGAAAATTGGGAGGAGCCAAGCCTCTTCCTTCTTCTCCTTACATCACCTCTCCCCTGCAACTGGAGCTCACATTGTAGTTCCAGGGCCCTTCCACATAGTCATATAACCCAGAATATCAAGGCAGAAAATCCCACAATATCTGCTTTGAACTGGGTTATCTGAGTCCACATTGCCATATATTCCAGTTCAAAGCAGAAAATGTGGGATTTTATTCAGCTGTGTGGAAGGGGCCCCAGGCACAGCACAGAGAAGCAATCTTTCAGCTACAGTTAATATCTAGCAATGATATTATTCTGTATTTTTGTTGATGTTAAAACTTAGTCCTCTTTAGCTATATTAGCCTCTTTCTAACTTTCAGTGATCTTTCCATCTTCCAAAATTGTGTTTGTGGGTTTTTTAAAGGAAAAATAACCCAAGAAATTTGTTAAATTATAACTCAACTTGAGAATTTCGTTCATACTTATCTAGGGTATAACACTTCACTATGGTTCATGATTATTCCTGTCATTTTGAGCTTTAAAATGATAAATCACATTCCAAGATCTACAAATTTTGGCATGGTTTGCTAATCAGATACAGACTATGCATTCTGTTTCCACCTATCTCCTTGAAGTCTTGTGCACATGTCACAAGATTGTGGTGTCTTGTTCCATTTAGTTACTCAAAAGATTGGATGCAGCATTTCTTTCTATTGCCTCTTCAACAGTACCTGTGGATGTGCTGTGGAAAGAGCGCTTGTACTTGTTGTGGTCTTCTCTCAAACCTCAAAGATTTCACACATACTAGAAAATGGGGAGGCAAGCTGGACTTCTTTTCACCTTTTCCTATGGGAAAAGGAGATGACTAATACCCGACCTCTCTTAATTCAGAAATCCTGATGATGATGTACTGGGAAAGTGGTGTTTGGATATAATCAGTTAATACGCTTTTTGGATATAAACAAATTATACCTTTTTACTAGCAGTGTATCTTTAAAAGACTTGCCCATTTTGCTGAGAGCTTACTATAGTCGGTTTAAATTTAAACCATCTCAGTCCTGCTCCTGAAAATAGATATATGTTGCTTTTGTTTGGACAGTTGCCAAGGATTTTGTATGCGTCGACATGGTCAATATGACCTACTGTAATTTACTAAGAATGAAATTCCCAGAGGAATTGAGCATGTTTTCATTTGTTTCAGTAGCCGGATCGAACTGGGTGATGTGACGCCACACAACATTAAACAACTGAAGAGATTAAATCAAGTCATCTTTCCTGTCAGCTACAACGACAAATTCTACAAGGATGTATTAGAAGTTGGCGAGCTCGCCAAATTGGGTATAAGATTTTTTATATTTATTTGATGGGTTGATGCCCAGAATTGTTGTCTCCTGCTACTAGATCTAATGCAATTTGTAATACTGTATTAAACCTAGGTTTTCTCGTGTGTATGTGTTTATACCTTGAACTTGTGTATGTTGACCCCATGAATTTCGTAGGGTTTTCTTAGGCAAGGTATTCTCATAAGTTATTTTGCTAGTTACTTCCTCTGAAATAGACCCTAGAGTACCTGGCATTTATTGACAATTTCCCACAAAAATACTAACAAGAGCTTATCTTTCTTATTAGTTTCCAAGTTTAAATCGGACTCTGTGCCTTTAGGACTAGTTCTTAATTATTCAAGTTGTGTAAAATCTTAACATACAGTCTTGCATGATAGCACCATGTTTTATTTTGTGTATACATCTTCTCGGAATACATGGTTTTCATTTGACCATCTTGCTTTTTACAGGGTGAGGCAGCATAACTTCCTTTTTTCAAAACTTAATAAAACCCATTGTATGAATCAGATTTTTTTATTTTTTATTTTATAATGTAGGAGCATACCTAAAGTTTTGTTTTATGTAGTTTTGAAGATGAAATTAGGTAGGTGACGTCCCCCATTCTCCACACACTGAGTAAACCGATTTCTGGTGTTTGTCATGACTCTTGCCAGCATAGCAGGCGTTATGTTGGCAATTTCTTCCTGGATGTTGGTCTTCAAATCTTGGACGGTTCACATAAACACAGGTTTTCAAAAAACCCCATAGAAAAAAATCACAAGGGACCAAATTTGGAGAGTGGGCCGGCCACTCCAAATCCACTCGAAAAGTAGGCCTCGACAGCAAAAGCACGCTCCTCACTGTTCCAACGCATGATGGCGATTGAACTGTGCCAGGACAAAACTTTATACTCCCGCCTCTCAAACGAGACCACTAGCGCTCCGCTACGTCTTCAACCGACTAAATGGCGCGCATTTTAAAAAAGGAAGTTATGCTGCCTCACCCTGTATTTGCCTGTGCTAGTAATCCCCATCCCCTTGTTCCCACAATAGGCTTTTACTAGCTATCATACTCCATATTTTCAAAGCTGCTCACCCTTCTGTAAATCACTGTAATGTCTTCTTTCAATGTGACATATTTCCTAATGAAAGGTCACATTCAGTTGTCTGTCCTTGTAATCTAGTCCTTATTTTAAATTTATATGATCTCATTATTTTCTCTATATAAAGGGAATATTCTTCCACACACTCATCATATCTAATTTTTAAAAAATGTTTTCCCCATTATTTTATAGAATAACTTTTATAATGAAATATGCTAAACAGCTTTTTAAATCCTCAAAATGCTTCTGGGATAATCTTGCTTTGCTCTCCAGCTTCCATAGCTGGAGAAAAGGCTTGCTTGGGATGGTTCAGTTTTTCCAAGTACATTGGATCTCTGCCATCAAAGTTATCAGTCCCAGCATATATTATTTAGCTGGATGAATCCAAGGCTTAGCTATCAAAGTACACCATGTCAAGCTTGAGAGTTTAGATCTGTTTCCTTCTATGTACTTATTTATCATTTATTTATTTAAAACATTTATCTTCCACCCTTCTCACCCCGAAGGGGACTGAGGATGGAGCACAGCATATACACGGCAAACATTCAATGCTGGGACACAAAATCACATGCAATACATAAACATTAAAAAACTTTTATCAAAATATTAAAATACACCATTTAAACCCGTCCTAGTCATCCGCGTCAAATCTAATTGGCCTTGTCATCTTTCCTGTTGGCGCTTTATTGCCCTGTCCCAAATGCTTGGTCCCACAACCAGGTTTTTACCATCCTTCTAAAGGACAGGAGGGAGGGGGCTGACCTGATCTCACCAGAAAGGGAGTTCCATAGCCGGGGAGCAATCACCGAGTAGGCCCCATGAAGTCTTGTGTAGTTATTTAGGGTGGGATGAGGATCTCTTTCTCCCTAGCTCCAAACTGAAGCTGTTGATGAAATTCTTGCCATGTTGAAATTGGTGAGTAGTTATATAGACCACTGCTCATCAAGGTGTTTTCCCCAGAAGTGCGGTAAGGTCTTGCACTCACTGAGATGGTGGATCTTTTTCTTGATCTGCCATGTTACATGGAGATGATATGATTTCTCAGTATAAAATAATCCCATCTGTAAGGAAAGGGCTTCATGTGGCTTTTGTGACATGCTCATTTTCTATATGAAGGGCTATTTATCTTTACACAGGAATTGTTCCATTATGTGAGCTTCTTCCTGAATGACCTAAATTTTCTGCTTCATTAAGAATCAGGTTGATAATGTTTGGTCTGCATAGCTGTAGCCAAACAGGGTCATTTTCATTGGGGTTCATTTAATATGGAAGTGTATTGTATTATTTTAATCAGGCAGTGTTCTTAAATTGTTCTAATCCCTAATTGTATGGGAAATATGGAATCAAAATTAATGTTTTCTTTTTCTTGTCCCTCTTCCTATCCTTATTTTTGGCAGCCTATTTCAATGATATTGCAGTGGGTGCAGTTTGCTGTAGAGTAGATCATTCTCAGAATCAGAAAAGACTGTACATCATGACACTTGGATGTCTGGCCCCTTATCGAAGATTGGGAATAGGTAAGGCTCTCCTGCAAATTATCAAGTGGGTCTTGTGTAAGTGTTTTAGGCTTACTGGGAGAAAATGTTGGTTATTTGTCAGAAATAAATATGAAATACTGGTGTGTTGATAAACTTTGAAGCTCCAGTTCAGTATCCTCTCCACCAAACATCAAGAATAAGTTTTAAAATGGGAAAAGGAGCGAATTTCACTATTTTATTTCCTCTCATTTTTTAAAAAAAAATATTTGATGCTCACTAGAAATTAATAGTTTTCTGAAAGTCTTTGTTGGCATTTTCTGCAGAAAATGAATGATTTTAGTAACATGGTTGTGAGACTGGAATCAGAACATGAATTCTTATACCCTGCCTGTATCCCTATACCGAATGGTAAAAACTATGATCTGTCTGTTAAAATGTCAGAGAGCTTTATAGGACGGGTTTTTCAATCTTTAATTATATGAAAGCAGTTGGTCTCTTAATTGAAATCAGCTTCCTTGCATCCAAAAACTTTTCAGAGGAAAATTTCTTGTTATGATGACCTTTGTATCGATATATGTAATATACAAAGAAACCATGATCTTTGCTCATTCTTTTGCTAATGGAATGTGTGTATATGTCCAGTTTGTCTGTGCTTCTTTCCATTCTTCCTTGAAAAACAAACAAAGTCACAGTTTGCATATGTCCTGTACCAATCTGATAATATGCAAACAAGCAAAGTTTATTGATTAGTCTACTGACCATATCAACATTAAAAACAAAGCAGAAACGTACACAAATAGACAAGATAATATGCTTATAGCCTGTAACTTCTTCATGGTGTCTGTGACTCACAGAAATTGGTTGACCGTACCTGCATAGTACATCTTTTGGAACCTTCTAGGCCAGTCCTGTATAACCTGTGGCCCTCCAGGAGTATGGGACTCCAACTCTTAGAAGATCTAGCCATCTTGTCCAATGGTCAGGAATTCTGGGAGCTGAAGTCCAAAACACCTAAAGCAGTGGTAATCAACCTGGGGTCCCCAGATGGTTTTGGCCTTCAACTCCCAGAAATCCTAACAGCTGGTAATCTGGCTGGGATTTCTGTGAGTTGTAGGCCAAAAACGTCTGGGGACCTCAGGTTGAGAACCACTGACCTAGTGGGTCACAGTTTGTACAAGCCTGTTCTAGGGGGTTGGCTTTTTCATAGCAGCCCCACCCACATTTAACAGCACTATATAGCATCTTCCCTGCCTAAACTCGGTTCCTTTTAGTTCACAATGCAATGCAGCAGTTTTTTCCCCTGTGGTATTGATCTGGCTTAGTTTTTGTCTGTTTTTACCTCTGCACTCATTCAATCCTGAAAAGACCTCTCAGGACAAGCCTCACTACATTTCCTTTTCTAGGAGATAAAGGGTGGCATTGACACTATGAGAGGTCCTTTTTAACATCAGGAGGTCACTTTTTTATTTTAAAAAAAAAAAGATGCAGCTCTTTTAAAAATGACTACATTTGAAATAACTTCATTTATCCTCTTGTTCTGTTTCCTTTGCAGGAACTAAAATGTTGAATCATGTGTTAAACATCTGTGAAAAAGATGGCACCTTTGACAATATCTATCTGTAAGTATATTTTTCTGCTGTCATATTAACTGTCATAGGCCTTGTAGAGCAAAGGATAGGCAAAGTACAGCTGCCCAGATTTATTAGTTTGGGGACCCCTGCTCCAGAGGCTACAACCCACAGTAGTGGATTCAAATTGTATAAAATAATTCCAACTAAACATTAGGAAGAACTTTATGATGGTAAGAGCTGTTCGGCAGTGGAATATGCTGCCTTGGAGTTGTGCTTGAAGGTGCCTTCTCTGCAAGTTTTTAAGCAGAAGCTGGATGGCCATCGGTTGGGGTTGCTTTGATTATGTTTTCTGCATGGCAGAGAGTTGGACTGAATAGCCCTTGCAGTCTCTTCTAACTCTATAGTACAGGGTGATGCAGCATAACTTCCTTTTTTAAAATGCGTGCCATTCAGTCGGTTGAAGACGTAGCGGAGCACTAGTGGTCTCGTTCGAGAGACGGGAGTATAAAGTTTTGTCCTGACACAGTTCAGTCGCCATCATGCATTGGAACAGTGAGGAGCGTGCTTTTGCCATTGAGGCCTACTTTTCGAGTGGATTTGGCGTGGCTGGCCCGCTCTCCAGATTTGGCCCCTTGTGATTACTTTCTATGGGATTTTTTGAAATCCCATGTTGATATGAACCGTCCAAGGACCCTACAAGGTTTGAAGACCAACATCCAGGAAGAAATTGCCAACATAGCGCCTGCTATGCTGGCAAGAGTAATGACAAACGCCAGAAATCGGTTTACGCAGTGTATGGAGAATGGGGGACGTCTCCTACCTAATTTGATCTCCAAAACTACGTAAAACAAAACTTTAGGTATGCGCCTACATTATAAAAAAAAAAAAATCTGATTCATACAGTGGGTTTTATTAAGTTTTGTAAAAAGGAAGTTATGCTGCCTCACCTTGTAGAATTGGTGCTGGCAGGCTTCTAGTTGAATGTAATGAACCTAACAGCAAAGGGATAATCTTCCATTCAAACACCCATGTACCTGGACTGGAAGGATTAAAATGTTTGACTAGATAGAACCTGAGGAGAGCCACTTAGGGAAGGCTTCCAATTTTGTTTCCACCCTTTTCCTTTCAACCTGGAGTTGAGATGGGGACAGAAAGCAACATCAATTTTGTGGTAGCCTCCATCCACCTCTGGAGCATGAAAATGCATCTGGTAACATTTGTCCTCTATACCCATATTTTCTCATTTCTCACCTTCAAATATACATCAATTGGCATGTAGATTCAAATTCCAGTCTTCAGATAATGCTAATATTCTTCATTTCTTTTCCACCTTAGACATGTCCAGATTAGCAATGAATCAGCAATTGACTTCTACAGAAAATTTGGGTTTGAGATCATTGAAACGAAGAAGAACTACTACAAGAGGATAGAGCCAGCAGATGCTCATGTGTTGCAGAAAAATCTCAAAGTCTCTTGTCTTGGCCAGAACACAGATGTGCAAAAGTCTGACAACTGAACAAAACGGAATGAACGCTTTCTTGCACTTTCTTAGCACCAAATAAGGAAAGAGAGGCCTGATGTTTTTGGTTTTTTCCATTATCCTAATATGTCCTGTATCCTCTCCAACAAATTAATATGTTCCCAAGGATTGTCAAATTGTGTGTTTTGCATTTGATAGCTGCTCTTTGCATTCTTTGGGATGGAAATAAACAGTTCTAGCTGGGAGGGTCTTCTGTTAATTTTCCAAAGGTCAGCTTTTCTTCAGTGCATGTGATTCTCATGCATTTTCATTGAAGAGGAAAATATAAGCAATACCTTGTGTCCAGGCTCCTAATACCATACTACAACTTTTTTAAAATGGAGGCTGTTTCTCTCCTTTTGCGAACTTGGTTTAGTGGCTTTTTGCCTTTACTTTTTTGACCATGCATCCAACAGTCAATCAGCTGATTCACAGCTTTTGAACTGCCATTTCTCCATTGAGACAAAGTAGCTGACAAGATTCATCTTTCTGATTTGTCAGCATTGTAATTTTCCACCCCTTGGCTCATTGTTCCTTGACTGGTGTAAGAGAGGATTCAAAGTAGTTCAGCATCGTCTCCAACTTCTATTCATTATAGTTTTCCACTGGCAACAGAACACACCTTGGCTCTGGCAACAGTGGAGTAAGGCAAGCGGTTAAGATTACTAAAGAACCTCAGTTTGTGTTTCTTTAAAATTGTGGGGCGGGGGTGGGTGTGGGGAGATTTGCCCTGGAAATGGCTCTGTTGGTTTGGACTGTTTGCTTGCTTGCTAAGTCTGTTCTCTGCTTATTAAAAAAAAGACGGTTAAAACTTCCTTTATCTACATTTTACAAGACTTGGCAATATATTCTGGGGGAATGTTACGGAATAACAGAATGAAGGGTTGGTGGGACATTGTAAAGGTTCAGAAAAGACCAGGCCTTCTAATATTGTAATGTAAGAACTGTAGCCTACTTTATTGAGCTCTTGCTTTGTGTTTTGTTATGCTTTTGTTGGCAATTTCATTTTGCGCTTTTAGCATTCATTACAATGATACCAGCTTAACTTTACAATTCTTCTTTTCATCTGGGGAAATGTACATGGGGAGATTTGGGAGGAACCTGCCCCATCACCTGAATCAATATTAAACTGTAACTCTTTCCTGGTTTTGAACTTCAGCTGTATTTTGAGCTTTTCTGATCTGAAATGGATTAATAAGGTGTGTGTTTACAGTGTGAACTTGCTATAAGATGAATTTCACTTTGATGTTGAACTGAGAACCAGGTGCATAAAAACGGAAAAGGTTGAGTAATTTCCATTATATTGTTGTCTGCAGAAAAATCACTAAACATTGGAACCTTATGAAACTAATAGTATATGCTAAAAATGACCCAGAGACAATATTCTTCTTAATGTGCAGATTTTTCTTTGCACTTGTATTCTAATTATTTAAAATCAGAACAAACATTCAGTTAGTCCTTCAAATGCCTTGTACTTGGGAGAGGTTTTTTTTGCTGCTGCTCTGGTCATAGTTCACAAAGACAAGCTTGATTTTCTGAGAATCTGTCTGTCCTTTACAAACAGGCTATAACATGAAGTTCAAATGCCAGCATTACTTTCCTTGATCAGTTAAAGGTACAACACTTTTTGTAATAGTCAAGTTATCATCTGTCCATAACTACCTTTTAGTGTCAAAGGAAATATATGTCCTCTTTTTTGGGAGTAAATGGTAGATTCTTAGAATAGTTGCCATTGATCTACAGATACAGGCAGTTTTCCCTTTAAAGTTCAAGATAATACAAACATTTTGCTTCTGTTCTTTTAAAATTGGTGCTGTGAATGTGTTTCTCAAATGTTTCTGAAAGTGTTAATTGTTTAGTCAACCATAATTATGTCCTATATAAAGTGGAAAGAAAATGATAGAAAATCAAATCTCCACTTTTCCTTACTTTCAGGTTATGCCAGTTACTGTCTTATATTTGCTCAAAAACACAGGATTTAAATCCCTAGGTCCTTGAGTTGTGTTTCTCTGTTTGAGTTCTGCAAACAGAAGCACTTTGAATGGTTCTTCTCTTTTTGGCTGCAGAGTTTGACCCATTTGGACAAATGTTTTGTTTTTCATAATCGTCTAGAAGGGGATTTTCTGAAATGGTTCTAAGTATTTTATGTATCACTGTCAGAATCTTTTGTTCTGTTGCAGGTCAGCATAGGATAACTATGATATATTATTTGGAAGGTTCCATTATTAATAGCAGCAGCACTCCTTTTGGAGATGTTTGCAAGGAGGATGTGTTTGGTTTCGTTTACATGGCCTGAGGCAGGAGCTCTCGTTAGGCACGAGCATTCATAAAGGTGCTCTGGGTTTACTTCCCAATAGACACAGAAAAGAAAGAGGCACCAGGTTAGGAACATCCTGCATTTAGCAAGGAAGGGGGTATTTTTATATACGCAGAGTGGATTTCAGTTCATGATTTAATGTGTCCATTAAATATTACATGCTACAGCTAAAATAAATTCTAGTTATGTTTTCATTAAATCTTCCTGGTGCCCTGTGGTATCTAATAAAATTTAAGCCAAAAAAAAAATCTTGCTCCAGTGACTGTGGGGTTAGCAGCTATGTACACAAATTCAATTTTAGCATGAACTAGCCGTCCCCTGCCACATGTTACTGTGGCCCACATGGGGGTTCTGTGTGGGAGGTTTGGCCCAATTCTATCGTTGATGGGGTTCAGAATGCTCTGTGATTGTAGGTGAACTATAAATCCCAGTAACTACAAATCCCACATGTCAAGCCCTTTTTTCCCCAAACTCCATCTGGGTTCATATTTGAGCAAATGGAATATTCGTGCCAAGTTTGGTCCAGATTCATTATTGTTTGAGTCCATAGTGCCGTCTGGATGTAGGTGAACTACAGCTCCCAAACTCAAGGTCAATTGCTACCAAACCCTTCTAGTGTTTTTTGTTGGTCACGGGAGTCCTGTGTGCCACATTTGGTTCAATTCCATCATTGGTGGAGTTCAGAATGCTCTTTGATTGTAAGTAAAGTATAAATCACAGCAACTGCAACTCCCAAATGACAAAATCAATTTTTGAGTGATGGTCACTCCTTGGTTTAGTAGGTGTCTTGTTGCCAAATTTGATGTCAATTCCCCCAGTGGTTTTTGAGTTATATGAATCCCACAAACGAACATTACTTTTTAATTATATAGACTAGCCGTCCCCTGCCACGCGTTGCTGTGGCCCTCATGGGGGTTCTGTGTGGTAAGTTTGGCCCAATTCTATCGTCGGTGGGGTTCAGAATGTTTTGTGATTGTAGGTGAACTATAAATCCCAGCAACTACAACTCCCAAATGTCAAGATTCTATTTTCCCCAAACTCTACCAGTGTTCACATTTGGGCATATTGAGTATTCTTGTAGAGTTTGGTCCAGATCCATCATTGTTTGAGTCCATAGTCATCTCTGGGTGTAGGTGAACTACAACTCCAAAACCAAAGGACACTGCCCACGAAACCCTTCCAGTATTTTCTGTTGGTCATGGGAGAACTGTGTGCCAAGTTTGGTTCAATTCCAACATTGGTGGGGTTCAGAATGTTCTTTGATTGTAGGTGAACTATAAATCCCAGCAACTACAACTCCCAAATGACACAATCATTTTTTTTGAGTGTAGGACATACATTGGGTTGTCAGGTGTCTTGTGTCCAAATTTGGTGTCAATTTGTCCAGTGGTTTTTGAGTTCTGTTAATCCCACAAACGAACATTACATTTTTATTTATATAGATTGAAGGACTTACTCATAATCATTCTACATGTCTGGTCATTATTTGGATGAGAACTGTTTTTTCTTTTTTTACATAGCTAAAAAATATTCCCTTGTATTACGGTTCTGGTTCATTCAGTGTAACAGATGATTCACCTGGAATAGCTGCATCAGATTTTTTAAGAAGTAGCATGACTAATTAGCCATGACTAGGCAAACGTGAAAAATTCAAGATAATACCCTGCAAAAAAACATTTATGTGAAACATATCTTAAAATTGCAAGTAGTTTGCTTGAAGCTTTTGTATGTCAAAAATATGTTTCTCTTCAAAATCCAAGGAAATTTATGTTTTTAGAAGCAGTTTTATGCAGAATGGTTACCTTGCTCATGACTTGAATTTTTTTTTTGGCCTTACTCCTACTTTTTACATACCACAGTTCTCATTCTTTGGCATTACCTCTCCATGCAAAAGGAACAAAACCAATTTGCTGGTGTACTGGCTTCTAGAACTCTGACCCAGAGTTTGGTGAGCTTCGACAATAGTCATCAGAGCTTTCATTCTTTCTCCTTTTTTCATTAGTCTCCCCCAGGCCCCATCTAACCATCTAATGCCATATAACAGCAGTGCTGCAACATTTACATTGGCTTCCAACTGAGTACCGTGGCCTGTATAAGATGTTAGTTCTGACCTTTAAAATTCTTTACAGCCAGGGTCCATCGTACCTTAGGGACTGCCTCTCCTTCTCCCATCATCGGAGGTTGCAACGACCATCCCAACGTGACTTACTCTATATACCGGATCCTAGAGAAGTGCACTTGGAAAGGACCAGACGCAGAGCTTTTTCTATTTCTGCCCCTGCCTTGTGGAATTCCTTGCCACCCTATATGAGAGCCATGCGTGAGTTAGGACCTTTTACTCTAGCACTTAAGACCTGGCTTTTTACTAGAGCTTTTGATCTATGTTAATTTTATCAATATCTGTATGTATGTATTTTTATCCTTTACAATTTTAGCTTGTAAATCGCCTAGAGCATCTTGGATGGAGGGCGATTAATAAGTAATTAAATGATGATTATGATGATCATGATCTATACTGACCATTTAATGCAGTTGGAAGCTGGCTTCCAACTGCTGTGGCCAGACAACAGACTCCCACAAGAGAGTGCAAAAGAAAACTCTTAATGCACATCAATGCTGTGTAGTTTGTGTAATCATCAACCAGGCCTCAAACCTATTCCAGCATTTCCTATGTAATCATCTGCACAGTGAAACCACTTTCTTCAATATCAGAAACCTATTTAAAGTTGTCAGTGTAGATGTGCCTCTCGTCTTTTCTTTTGATCCCATGTAAGTATCAAAGATATTGATACTATAGGGGCACATGTTTTCTGTTGGCCGACAGACTCACTGTTAATCCCGGCTTTTTGCATGAACCAATAGAAGGGCTGGGAGGGAATTTCAAGCGGATAGCAATGTTAATACATGGAATTCTTTGTGTGTAAGTATTCTTGCCTTTTCTGTATTTGGCACACTTACACCCTTTGAGCCTTGGTTGCCTTTTTCAGATTGAATAAAAACTTCTGTCATTTGCCTTCCTTCTGATGAGATCTTGAATTCTCATCTTGGAACATTTGCAGGTAACCGGAACTCACCAGGCTTTTCCCCTTGGTATCCACGGGTTAGCCAAAGCTTCAAATTTTCCGGCTTAAGAACTATTTCTCAACAAATGCCTGAACATTGTGACGAATTATTATTATTATTATTATTATTATTATTATTATTATTTACACAAAAACACAGTATGTCACAGCAAACAAGATACATATGCTGGATTTCGTATCACAAAATTACAAGTCGAACACTTCCCAAGCGTCTAGGACTGTGATGGATTTTCAAATGATGCACACAGATCCAAGTAAGGTGGCCTTTTGGAGTTGACCGATCCTGATTTTGACATGTTTATTGTTTCCAAACACCGGCTGAGGTCTTTTGGCATGGTACCCAGTGTGCTGATGACCACTGGGACCACCTGTACTGGTTTATGCCAGAGCCTTTGCAGTTCGATTTTAAGGTCTTGTTTTTCATCAGTGCGGCTGTCACCTGGCATGGCATCATAAATAACCCAAACTTTTTTCTTTTCCACAATCATGGTGGATTGTGTTCCAAAACTTTGTCAGTCTCGATTCAAAAGTCCCACAGTACTTTTGCGTTTTCATTTTCCACGACCTTTGCAATTCTTTACTGCTGACAGGTGGTACTTGTGACATAAGTTCCAGTGAATCATTTGGGCCACAGAGTTGTCCCTTTGTTTGTAGTCTGTCTGTGTGATTTTCTTGCAACAGCTGAGGATATGATCTATGGTTTCATCAGCTTCCTTGCACAGACTGCATTTTGAATCATCAGCTGATTTTTCGATCCTGGCCTTAATTGCATTGGTTTTGATGGCTTGCTCCTGGGCTGCAAGAATCAGGCCTTCTGTCTCCTTCTTCAGTGTTCCATTTGTGAGCCATAACCAGGTCTTCTCCCTGTCAACTTTTCCTTCAATTTTGTCAAGGAACTGCCCATGCAATGCTTTGTTGTGCCAGCTGTCAGCTCTGGTTTGTAGTGCGGTTTTCATGTGCTGATTATTTGCTGTGCTTTGAGAAATTTCCGATTACTGACTTCAGTTAAAGCAGGTTCTTGCCTTTCTTTAACATATTTTGCCAGGGCGTGTTTTTCTTCTTCAATTGCTTGTTTTACTTGTAAGAGTCCTCTGCCCCCAGACCTTCTAGGCTCTCTCAAACATACTCTCAAACAGGGGAACTCCAGACAAAAAACAATCAGGGCCAGCTAATCACCTCTCAACAAAGGATTCTCCCTAAAAACTGTCAGGCTATGAAATGGTAATCAAGGTGGCCAATTGAAACATTCATACCTACCTCTAACAGACAAGAGTTCTTTCTCCCACCCTGGATCTTCCACAATTTTCCTAGTTAAAGGTTTTCCTCTGACATGAAGTCCAGTCGTGTCTGACTCTGGGGTGTGGTGCTCATCTGCATTTCTAAGTCGAACAGCCGGCGTTGTCCATAGACACCTCCAAGGTTGTGGCTGGCATGACTGCATTGGGCCTGATGGGCAGCGTGAGCCTGCCAAGGGAGGAGCAGCCCCGCGCGGCCTACTTGCGAGTAAAGCACCTCGCAAGGTGCTTTACACGCAAGTAGGCCACGCGGAGCAGCTGCCCTTGGCTGGCTCACACTGCCCATTGGGCCTGACGGATAGCATGAGCCTGCCAAGGGAGGAGCAGCCCTGCGCTGCCTACTTGCGTGTAAAGCACCTCGTGAGGTGCTTTACACGCAAGTAGGCCACGCGGAGCAGCCCTTGGCTGGCTCATGCTGCCCATCGGCCTGACAGATAGCGTGAGCCAGCCAAGGGAGAGGGCACTGTGGGGGGGCGCTCCTCCGCGGGCCGGATAAGTGCCCTTGGCGGGCTGGAAGTGGCCCGCGGGCTGTAGTTTGTGGACCCCTGTTCTAGGCAGATAGAGCTGGTCAACATCACTGCAAGGATGCAGCAAATTATGAATGGTCATGAGCAGGCCCGTAGGCAGGATTTTGATTCGGGGGGGGGGACGGGGCGAGTCTGAGTGGAAGAGGGTCTACCCTAGCAAACCTTTTGTATCGTTACCCCAATACCCCCATGCATATGGGATATATTGAGCATGGTGATCAGATCATGATATGAATAAACACAACAGTTTAAATAATGTACCAGTAAGGCCTTTTCGCAGACTACCATGAGAATTTCGGGGGGGGGGGCTAAGCCCCCCCCCCCCAGCTACATGCCTGATAATGAGTTTTCTTGTTTTTCTGTTTATTATTATTATTATTATTACTCCAATTTATCTCCCCAAAGCGGTTCCGGCCCAAGATACCTATTCGACCGCATCTCGACCTACGAGCCCACCAGGACTTTGAGATCTTCCGGGGAGGCCCTGCTCTCGATCCCGCCTGCCTCACAGGCACGGCTGGCGGGGACGAGAGATAGGGCCTTCTCGGTGGTGGCACCTCGGCTGTGGAACACCCTTCCCGTGGGCATCAGACTGGCTCCTTCCCTGATGATATTCCGCAGGAAATTAAAGACTTGGTTGTTCAAGAAGGCGTTCGAACAAGAAGTGCAATGATTGGTAATGACGATAGGAATGGAACAACGGAAAATGATACTGGATTGTGGTTTGGACGATGAGACGACGCGGAATGGCTTTTGTAGTAATTATGTTTTTGATGATGATGTATTTTGCTAATGCTGGACTGTGGATTATTTTTAGATTGTGTCTTGATTTTTGAACCTTGCTCTTTCTATGTTGTACACCGCTGTGAGTCGCCCCTGGGCTGAGAACAGTAAATAAATAGATAAATAAATATAGCAGCTTAACATAAAAGCATTGCCATTCAATTTAAAATACAACATTAAAACAGAATTAAACACAAACAGCATTAAACATTTCAATTAAAAACCATCAAAACATATTCAAAGTTAAAAACCACAGCACCCTCTGACTTGATCTATAAAATCTTCTTTAAAAGGCCTGCCTGAATAAGAAGGTTTTAGCTTGCTGCTGGAAGGACAGCAGAGAGGGGGCCATTCTAGCTTCCCTGGGAAGAAGGGAGCTCCAGAGTCGAGGGGCAGCCACCGAGAAGGAAAGCCTTTCTCTTGTTCCCACCAGGACTAAAGACCGATAGGTCGGAGGTTAAAATCCAGGGATAGCGCGGATGAGCTCCCTCTATCAGCTCCATCTCCCCATGTGAGGACATGAGAGAAGCCTCATAGAATCATAGAGTTGGAAGAGACCTCATGGGCCATCCAGTCCAACTCCCCCCAACCAATCACTGATATATATTTTCTGTTTGTCGGGGGAGTTCTGTGTGCCATATTTCGTTCAATTCCATCATTGGTGGAGTTCAGAATTCTTTTTGATTTTAGATGAACTATACATCTCAGTATACATTGACAGGCCTTTGATTTTTAATATTGCTGTTTTTAAATTGTTTTAAATTGTTTTAAAATTGTGTTAGATTTTAGCCATTCTTGTAAGCCGCTCCGAGCCCCAGGGGAGTGGCGGCATATAAGTTCGAATAATAAATAAATAAATAAAATAAACATATACACAAGTTAAAGCACTGAGCTGCTGAGCTTGTTGATCGAAAAGGTCGCAGGTTCGATTCCAGGGAGTGGCATGAGCTTCCGCTGTCAGCCCTAGCTTCTGCCAACCTAGCAGTTCAAAAACATGCAAATGTGAGTAGATCAATAGGTACAGCGCTCCATGCAGTCATGCCGCCACATGACCTTGGAGGTGTCTACGGACAACGCTGGCTCTTCGGCTTAGAAGTGGAGATGAGCACCACACCCCAGAGTCAGACATGACTGGACTTAATGTCAGGGGACTACCTTTACCCATCTGATAGCAGAAAAAGTGTCTCAAGAGCACCCCTGGGCAAAATCAACTATACTGCAAATGCTTATTTTGCGTAATGGGTTGAGCCGCCCCTGGTCTTCCGGGATCAGTATTCTGGTGGGTCTGTAGGTGACTGTGGAGCCCAATTCTTGATCTGCATCTTCTCCCGCAGTGAGGGCATTGGTTTCCAGGCGGAAGGCAGTCTCGGTCAGGGTTAGCTTGATGCGCCTTCCTCTTGGCACGTTTCTCTCTTTCATCCTCCATTTGTGCCTCTTCAAATTCTGCAGCACTGCTGGTCACAGCTGACCTCCAGCTGGAGCGCTCAAGGGCCAGGGCTTCCCAGTTCTTCCCAGTGTCAACACATACATTCGATTAAAACAGTAAAACTCAAAACATTATAAAAGACATCATCAATAAATTCATTTAACGTAGGTATGTAACTAACGTGTGGTATATGCAACATTCTTTGGTTTCTTTAGAGCAGTGTTGCCACTATTAAAGTTCCAACCCTCATAATTTATCCTGTCCCAATCCCAACCCAGCCTTAGTAGGCAGCACTTGCTGCGAGTGATGGAGATCTTTTCATAGAATCCTAGAGTTGGAAGAGACCTCATGGGCCATCCAGTCCAACCCCTGCCAAGAAGCAGGAATATTGCATTCAAATCACCCCTGACAGATGGCCATCCAGCCTCTGTTTAAAAGCTTCCAAAGAAGGAGCCTCTACCACACTACAGGGCAGAGAGTTCCACTGCTGAACAGCTCTCACAGTCAGGAAGTTCTTCCTAATGTTCAGATGGAATCTCCTTCTTGTAGTTTGAAGCCATTGTTCCATGTCCTAGTCTCCAGGGAAGCATAGAATCAAAGAGTTGGCCATCCAGTCCAACCCCCTGCCAAGAAGCAGGAATATTGCATTCAAATCACCCCTGACAGATGGCCATCCAGCCTCTGTTTAAAAGCTTCCAAAGAAGGAGCCTCCACCACACTCCGGGGCAGAGAGTTCCACTGCTGAACGGCTCTCACAGTCAGGAAGTTCTTCCTCATGTTCAGATGGGAGCAGAGAGCAAGCTTACTCCCTCCTCCCTATGACTTCCTCTCACATATTTATACATGGCTATCATATCTCCTCTCAGCCTTCTCTTCTTCAGGCTAAACATGCCCAGCTCCTTAAGCCGCTCCTCATAGGGCTTGTTTTCCAGACCCTTGATCATTTTAGTCACCCTCCTCTGGACACATTCCAGCTTGTCCACCAGAGTCTTTTCCAACATATTACAATAGTCTTTAGTTATGGGTGCCACATTAATGCACCACGGACAACGAGGGATTGCCTAAGTCAGAATATAGAGAACTCCTACCAACGCCCCGCCCCCTTCCCTCCTTTCCAACCGCCAATTGGTTCCTCAAGTAGTTCCTGTTTCCCCTCAATCGAGGTCTCCCTTGGTCCGCCGCGCAGCCAATGAGGCTTTAGTGGGCGGGCCCTGGCGCTCGTCTCTTGACACGGATGTGTGGTGACGTGACCGCTCATTGGTTGTTCCTGTGGGAGGGCGGGACCAAAGTGAAGTTGCGCACAGGGATAGGATGCGAGGCTGCGGGGGGGGGGGGGGAGTGTGTGTGTGAGAGGGAGAAGGCCTCGCCGGAGGAGGATGGTCCCCGCGGTGGGGCTGCAGCTGACGAGCGCGCCCTCGACGCCGGTGAGTGAAGCCTGGACGGGGCCTCAGCGCCGCCGAGGACCGAGAGCTCTGGTTCTTCGCCCCTCCGCGGGTTTCTGGGCCCAGAACACCTCAGCTCGGGGTGTGGAGGAAGGCAAGGAGAAGGCTCCGTCGATGGCCGTCAAAGTTTACATTCTGAGGGGAGGCCAAGCCTGAAGGAGGGAAGGCAGGCCGGCCTTACTTTCCTTCCGCCGAGGCACCTGGCTGAGGAAGGCAGGCTGTGTGTGGGCAGGAGCCAGCCGGGCCCCGAGGAATCAGGGGGGGACGAGGGTGACCTCCATCTCAGCCCAGGACAACACGGGCCGTTAGGCTCCATGCTCAGCAGGCAGGGTTCTTTGAAAAGTAGGGTCTTGCATTTGTGAGGCATTGACTCGTAGTGTCCGCCCTCAAAGACATAAGCAAAAACACATGACTATTTATTTATCACTAGCCGTCCCCTGCCACGCGTTGCTGTGGCCCACATGGGGGTTCTTTGTGGGAGGTTTGGCCCAATTCTATAATTGGTGGGGTTCAGAATGCTCTGTGATTGTAGGTGAACTATAAATCCCAGCAACTACAACTCCCGAATGTCAAGATTCTATTTTCCCCAAACTCCACCAGTGTTCACATTTGGGCGTATTGAATATTCATGTGGTTTGATCCAGATCCATATGGAGCCCCCAGTGGCGCAGTGGGTTAAACCCCTGTGCCGACAGGACTGAAGACCGACAGGTCGCAGGTTCTAATCCGGGGAGAGGCAGATGAGCTCCCTCTATCAGCTCCAGCTCCTCATGCGGGGACATGAGAGAAGCCTCCTACAAGGATGATAAAAACATCAAATCATCCAGACGTCCCCTGGGCAACGTCCTTGCAGACGGCCAATTTTCTCACACCAGGAGTCACTCCTGACACGACAAAAAAAAAAATAAATCCAGATCCATCATTGTTTGTTTCTAGTGTTTTCGGTTGGTCATGGGAGTCCTGTGTGTCACCTTTAGTTCAATTCCATCATTGATGGAGTTCAAAATGCTCTTTGATTGTATGTGAACTATAAATCCCAGGAACTACAACTCCCAAATGACAAAATAATATTTTTTTTGAGTGAAGGACATACATTGGGCTGTTAGGTGTCTTGTGTCCAAATTTGGTGTCAATTCGTCCAGTGGTTTTTGAGTTCTGTTAATCCCACAAACGAACATTACATTTTTATTTATCACTAGCTGTCCCCTGCCACGCGTTGCTGTGGCCCACATGGGGTTTGTGTGTGGAAGGTTTGGCCCATGTCTATCATTGGTGGGGTTCAGAATGCTCTGTGATTGTAGGTGAACTATAAATCCCAGAAACTACAACTCCCAAATGTCAAGATTTTATTTTCCCCAAACTCCACCAGTGTTCACATTAGGGCATATAGAGTATTAGTGTAGGTTTTGGTCCAGATCCATCATTGTTTGAGTCTACAGTGATCTCTGGATGTAGGTGAACTACAACTCCAAAACCAAAGGACACTGCCCACCAAACCCTTCCAGTATTTTCTTTTGCACATGGGAGAACTGGTTCAATTCCATCATTGGTGGGGTTCAGAATGCTCCTTGATTATAGGTGAGCTATAAATCCCAGCAACTACAGCTCCCAAATGACAAAATCATTTTTTTTTAGTGAAGGACATACATTGGGTTGTTAGGTGTCTTGTGTCCAAATTTGGTGTCAATTCGTCCAGTGGTTTTTGAGTTCTGTTAATCCCACAAATGAACATTACATTTTTATTTATCACTAGCTGTCTCCTGCCACGCGTTGCTGTGGCCCAGTCTGGTGATTTGGAAAATAAAGTAATAAGAAAGTGTTTGTTTCTAATATATGAAATTTCTTTATTCTAGTGGATAAACAGTATTTCTTGTTTCTTTGTCAGTGTTGATGTGAAGAGTGTCTGGTTTGCCGACTCTGGAATATGCAACATATAATTGTCCTTCTTTAGGGGTCCCTTTCAAATCTGTGCTACTATATCTGTGTATGTGAATCATATGTACACACACATTTCTATCTATATATCTATCTAGATGGCTCTTTGTTAGGAGGGCTCTGATTACATTTTCTTGCCCTGGTGAAGAGAGTTGGACTTGATGGCCTTAATTATTTTCCATCGGTCATCGGGGTTTTGTGTGGGAAGTTTGCCCCGATTCTGTCGTTTGTGGGATTCAGAATGCTCTTTGATTGTAGGTGAACTATAAATCCTAATAACTACAAATTCCAAATGTCAAGGTCTATTTCCCCAAACTCCATCTGTGTTCATATTTGGGAATATGGAATATTTGTGCCAAGTTTGGTCCAGATCCATCATTGTTTGAGTCCACAGTGCTCTCTGGATGTAGGTGAACTACAACTCCCAAACTCAAGGTCAATGCCCACCAAACCCTTCTAGTTTTTTCTGTTGGTCATGGGAGTCTGTGCCGAGTTTGGTTCAATTCCATCATTGGTGGGTTCAGAATGCTCTTTGATTGTAGGTGAACTATAAATCCCAGCAACTACAACTCCCAAACGACAAAATCAATTTTTTTTGAGTGAAGGACATACATTGGGATGTGAGGTGTATGCTGTCCAAATTTGCTGTCAATTCGTCCATTGGTTTTTGAGTTCTGTTAATGCCACAAACAAACATTACTTTTTTTTTATTTATCATGTCAGAAGCGAATTGAGAAAACAGTTATAATGTATTGTCGAAGGCTTTCATGGCTGGAATCACTAGGTTCTTGTGGGTTTTTTCGCCAGGCACAGATTAACACCTCCCAGCAACAGATTTTCCCAGGCTCAGGCAGCCTTCAAATGCTAATGAAGGTGATCAGCTAAACATTCACACCTAACTACAGCAGGGAAGAGCTCCTTGCCCCACCCCAGCCATTCCACAGATATATAAACCCATTTTTCCTACTTCCAACAGACCTCACAACCTCTGAGGATGCTTGCCATAGATGCAGGCGAAACGTCAGGAGAAATGCCTCTAGAACATGGCTCTATAGCCCGAAAAAACCCACAAGAACCTAGTTATAATGTATTTTTAAAAATACATAAACAAATCATTATACTAAATCATTATACTTTGACTGGAAACTGACTACTTGGAGTGCCTCTAGTGTCACTGTAAGAAGGTCCTCCGTTGTGCATGTGGCAGGGCTCAGACTGCATTGTAGTAAGTGCTCTGTGTCAACTATTTGATGGGACAAATCAGTGGTTAAGCTATTCACCCAAAAATGGAAAAGAAAAGCACAAGATTTATATTTTGGGAAATGGTAGATTTGTGTGAAGCCCAAAGGAGTGGATTGACAACAAATTTGATAGGCTAGGATAGGATATCCAGTCATCAAAATGGTTAATTATCTAGTTTGACTCCATGTAGTGTTAGGCAAATCATTCCTATCATAGTACTATATAGAAAATAATACTGACCCTATGTACATGATTAGGGATATTTAAAGCATCTAATAAATCTTAGAAAATCTATCCTGCTAATTTTTTCAAGTAGTGTCTGCTGTGACGGTCCTCAGGAAGCATTCAGAAGAAGCATGTTTTAAAAATATGTCTAGGACTTACCCTTATTCTTAAGCCTAAATACATTAATGGATAACTCTCTGCCAAATGTCTATTTATTTATTTCTGCTATGGTGTGTATGTATGTATGGATGTACATACCGTTATCATCTCTCTTGTAGAGTGAAATTGTTTCTACCTATTTTCTAGAATCTAGCTGTGGATATATTTTCCAGTTATTTATTTTATTTATTTATTTGTCTTGTATACTGCTACTCCCAATTTGGCTCGGAGCGGTTTACAGCAGTAGATTAAAACAATACAATTAACTTTAAAATACAATAAAACAAGAACAGACATAGTCCCGAGTTATTCACCCATCGAAAGCTTGTCGGAAGAGAAAGGTTTTACAGGCTTTCCGAAAAGCAAGTAGGTCTCGGATAGATCGAGTTTCAACTGGCAAGGCATTCCATAAATAAGGGGCTATGATCAAGAAGGCTCTCTGCCTAGTAGAGGACAGATGATAAGTCCAGATGTTGGGGACTTCAAGCAAATCTTGGTCTTCGGACCGAAGTAATCTCTGGGGTTGGTAGGGGGATAAGCGGGCCCTCAGGTACGCCGGCCCCAGACCATATAAGGCCTTAAAGGTTAATACCAGCACCTTGAAAGTAATCCGGTACTCAATTGGTATCCAGTGCAGCTGTTGTAGAATTGGGGTGATACGACACCTCACTGGCACCCCGGCGAGAAGACGAGCCGCCGCATTTTGCACCAGCTTCAGTTTCCGGATCACTGACAAAGGAAGGCCAGTGTAGAGGGCGTTACAGTAGTCAAGCCTCGAGATGACCGTCGCCTGGATCACCATAGCCAGGTCGTTCCTAGATAGGTAGGGAGCTTCAAGGTATTTTGACCAATTCACTGGAAAACTTACTCTCAGTTATGATGGCTGAGGCTTCTTGGAATTGAAGTCCAAATGCCTGGTGGAGCATAGTATGAGAATGGATCTGAAGTGAAAAGAGGGAAGATAAATCTACATGTTTATCTTCCCTCTGCAGATGTGATGTAGGTTTTGGTGAGGATGAACATCAGAAGATTTTAAATTGCACTAAATGGTCACTGTACATGGGATCTCTGTTCCATAACCAGACCTAAAACCAGATTGAATTGGATTTAGATAATCAGTTTCATCCAGAAACCCTTGGAGCAGGGAGGCCACTCCATGCTTCAGAACCTTGCCAAAAATGAAATATTAGAGATTAGCTGCTAACTATTCAGAAGGGGCTTGGGGCCCAGGGAGGTCTTTTTCTTTAGTAACAGCCTAGTCATAGCATCTTTTTGGTGAGATGGGGACTTTTCTTGCTGCAGTGAGGCATTAATCACTCCCCTTATCTACATGACCAGTCCCCCTATAGCAGTGGTTCTCAACCTGTGGGTCCCCAGATGTTTTGGACTTCAACTCCCAGAAATCCTAACAGCTGGTAAATTGGCTGGGATTTCTGGGAGTTGTAGTCCAAAACACCTGGGAACCCACAGGTTGAGAACCACTGCCCTATAGGAACTGGGAAGGGCAAAAATGCATATTGTAGGTCACCCTTCTCCAGGGGTCCTGTCCACATAGTTAGGCTGCATGAACTGAAATTTATCAAATAAAACAAGACAAGCAAGTGCATCCACTGGAAAAGTCTCAACTGCAGTATCTAAATCAGAATGGATCTGAGCAATTTCATCTACAAAGTGTCTTACAAATTCATAACAGATGAGTTTTTAGTGATATTTTTCTCTTTTTTTGTGGGCTGGAGTGTGAAAACTCTGCTGGAAAATACTGTGTAGTTTCAGTGATGACAGAGAAGTAGAATTTCTTTGCCACAATCATTGCCTTCTAGTAACTTTTGCCTGTGTTCAGTTAGACCTGCTCCAAGTCTTCTGTCATTATCATTCTCCTCTCCGACCCACTCATTTCATCACCACCAGCCCCCTAATGAACCAGAGGTCTTGCTTGGCTCCTCTTAGGTGTGATCATGTCTACAGCCTTGACCATTTCTTTATTCCAGAGATCAGCCAGGGTTTCAACAGAATCAAAAGCAACAGAAAACTCTTCAAGAGTTGTCAGAAATCCATCTGGATCCATCAGTCTGCTAGGGTGAGTCATCTTAATAGCCCTCCCCCCAGGCCACCCCGTGCACCCTTAACACCCCTGCAGAGGCTCTTTCAACACCCAATCCTTTACAGCAAGCTGCAAAGTATGTTTATCCCCTTTTTTAAAATGGGGACAATATTTGCTTTTTCCAGTCTGCTGTAACTTCTCTTTTTCTCCAGAATACTCAAATATGATTGCCAGTGGTTCTGAAATTACTTCTGCCAGTTCTTTTAATATCCTTGAATGTAATTAATCTGGCCCTGGAGACTTGAATTCATTTAGAGTAGCTAGATGATACTTTACTGACTCTTTACCTATTCTCTGCTGCATTTCTCCTACCTCACAATCTGCTCTATTATCACCAAATTAACACTGTTTACCTTTTGGGAGAGACATGGAAAGCATTGAGTAGTTCTGCATTTCCTCTGTTCCCTGTTAGCATTTAGCCATCCTCTATATGCGGTAGCCCTGCTGTTTTTTTTCCTACCACGGACATAACTAAAAAACCGTTTTTGTTATATTTACCTTCTCTCTAAGTCGCTTGGGCTTGTTCTGCTCTTTGACTTTTCTAACTTTCCCCCTACATATGCTAGCTATTCATTTGAATTCCTCTTTGGTGATTTTTCTCCTTTTCTATTTCCTGTACATAACTTTTTAAAATCTTAGCTCAGTTTAAAGTTCCTTAGACATCCATTCTAGTTTCTCCTATTTTTCCTCCTCATCGAAGTTGTTTGAAACTCTGCCACCAACATTTTGCTTTTCAGAAACTCCCATCCATTATTAACTCCTTTCTCTTTTAGTATTCCTGATCATGGGATCACACTCCATTTTTCCTAGGTTTACTGAAATCAGCTTTCTTAAAGTCTGGTTTGTGTGTCCTAATATGCTTGACTTTCTTCACTGGAGAACAAAATCTATAAGAATATGTTGCGCAGCAAGCGGATCTTAGCCACATCTAATGCACAAGACTCACATACAAGAGTAGAAATGAACAGAAAAATCTTTACTCTTAATAACAGAGATGAAATACAAACTTGCAATGTTGCATACAAAAAAAATAAACAGTGCAAGAAACTTACATAGTCTTTGTAAGTTACACAAAATAAGGCATCTTCATCTTAAGTCCAATGAGAAAGCAAAAGATAAACCTCGAGCAAACAGCTATTCCACCATAGCCTCCTTTAGAGCAGCATAGCGGCTTCTCTCCAACCTGCTCCTCAGGGCAGAGCCTTTGAGCATAGATTGTGTTGTCTTATTGATAATGTTGTATATTTTATTGTCTATGTTTTTTTATTGCTTGTATTGTTGTTTTATTGCTTGTATTGTTGTATTTGGGCTCGGCCTCATGTAAGCCGCACCGAGTCCCTTGGGGAGATGGTAGCGGGGTACAAATAAAGTGTTGTTGTTGTTATTATTATTATTATTATTATTATTATTATTCCTCAAAAAGCTCTCCAAAACTGTATTCTAAAAACCCATACAGTTATACCCTATTGGGTGTGGTCCAAGATTGCTGGTTGACCTACATTACCAGCTGCACATAATAATTACCATCATAAGGTTTTTCTTCAACACACACACTTGGTCCTGCTACGACTTAATGTAACAAGTTACACCTAAGGAACCCACCCTGTTCACTCCATTTACCAGGTCGTCACTATTGGTTAGGATCAGATCTAGACTAGCTGATCCCCTCGTTGCCTCCTCTACTTTTGAACCATGAAATTGTTTTCAAGTAAAGTGAGAAATTGGTTTCTTGGTATTATTGGCAGAGTTTGCTTTCCAACAAATGTCAGGATAGCCATCAACAAGGCAAGGGGATTCCAACACTGCTTTCAAGACCAACTCAGACATCTCAGGAAAGGAGACTATTGAACAGTGGAGTGGTCAGTACAAGAAGTTGGGAGGGATGTGGAGGCCCTCCTTTTGGTCCGAGGACCTTCTCAGTGGTGGCCCCCCGTCTCTGGAACGCCCTTCCAAAGGAAATAAGACAGGCCCCATCCCTCCCCTCCTTTCGTAAGAGCTTGAAGACCTGGTGGTTTCAACAAGCCCTTGAAAATGACCAGTTTTAACTCAGCCCCACACTTTGTCTAATACGGCCTTATTCTTCCTACCAGTTACCCAGATTCTTTCCTTTAATCGGCCCTGGAATGGACAGCCACAGACCTAATATTATTGTTGCCTGCCATAGCATTGCACTTAATTCCCGGGCCCCCTAGAATTTTTGGGCTTGCACAAATCTTGGCCCGGCCTTTTAAATTTTTAATTGCCTTGAACAGGCAGGATTACTTTTAATATATGTGTGTTATGGCGACAATATTTATGCTTATATTTTATTTTATAGTTATGTTGGTTTTTACTTTGGGAACGCTCTGAGTCCCCTGGGAGATGGAGCGGTATATAAATAATTATTATTATTATTATTATTATTATTATTATTATTATTATTATTATGTGTTTGTTTGTTTCAGCCAAATACTTTCTAAGGCAAAAATGAAGAATCCGCTTTATACATTAATGGAACAGAAATACAAACAACAACCAGTGTTGCCTAGTAATATTTAGTTGGCCTTCCGCCTTGTTTTTCAGCATGTGCCTTTCTTTTAGCATTTTTAGCAGGAGTGGGCAACTGTGAAAAGCTAGGGGACCACATTAACCATCCAGGACAATGTCACCTCTTGTTTTTGTTTTTAAATTTAAATATTGTTTTTACATTTAATGGGAAAAAGTACAATAAGCAATAAAGCCTATGAGAACAAATTGTTTATGAGGATTTATTTTTGGAGATTGACTCTATCAGAATTAACAGTGGGGTGAAAAACAGGCTAGTGACCATAACAGCTATACTCCAAATCCAAATCAGGCTCCTCAGTATTTTAGTCTTGGTAGCAAAATAGTTCTGATTCAGTGGGAATCCCATTTGTTGTGAACATACAACGCCACATCAAATTTGCTTCCTAGATTTTTTAAAAAAACAAATGCTTTATTTTTTATCCCACTTTTCACCTGATATAGTGTCTTAAGGTGGCAATTTCAAAGATAGAATCCAGAAAAAAATATAGATGCTCTTTTCAGCTTTTCCTATTCTTGCCCTGAATAAAGGTTTTAAAACCTGAACTCTTACAACCCTACACTTATTTCTTCTGATGGTATTAAGTAGGAAGTCCTCTTCATAGGACTCCTGAAGATTCTGTGAGTAAGACGTCATCCTCGTTTTTTCATGCTAGCGTTTTTAATAGCTGGCGTTCAGTTGCACTGGGAAGCAGTCCTTGCCTCATCTTTTGACAGGGAGAGTAAACTTTCCTCAGCCTAGATCCCCTGAGTACCTAGCGTCAACTGGAGAGATATGTTCCTCTGTGACATTTGGCACAGGAAGCTTTTATTCATCTTTGGAGGAGGATTTTTCTAGCAGGGGCATGAGGCAGGTCTGCAAGCATACTGTCCAACCTGAGTATTTCTGTTTAATGTGTAGCAGACAAAAATATTTTCCCCTGTTTTTACAAATATTCAGATTAATTCTAAGAGATTGTCTCCTACTGACATAGTAAACTTGTGAATTTGTGCTTGAGCTATGCAGCTTCAGACAGCAGGTGGGTGATTGTGTAAAAATGCTTTAATGGTCTACACCAGGGGTCCACAAACTTTTTAAACAGAGGGACAGGTCACAGTATCTCAAACTGGTGGAGGGCCGGATTATAATTTGAAAAAAAAAACACAAATGAATTCCTATGCACTCTGCACATATCTTACTTGTAGTGCAAAAAGCACTTTAAAACAATACAATAATTAAAATGAAGAACAATTCTCATAAATATAAGCTTATTAGTATTTCAATGAGAAGTGTGGGCCTGCTTTTGGCTGATGAGATAGGATTGTTGTTGTTGTTGTTGTTGTTATGTGCTTTCAAGTCATTTCAGACATAGGTTGACCCTGAGCGAGGGCTGGGTAAATGACCTTGGAGGGCCACATTCGGACCTTGGGCTGTAGTTTGAGGACCCCTGGTCTACACATATGGTCTGTTTGAATATACGACACATAGTAGAATGCTAACAGCATTGTAAACAGACCCTCAACAGGGAAAGTACTAATAATTATTTGCTGATCATTAGACAGGGCAAAAATAAGGTTTGTCTAAGTGGACAGTTGATAACATTTGCAACCTTATTTCTTATGTGGACTCTGCTAATTTAGAGAAACATCACAAGAAGCCAGTAAATGTTTAATTTTAAAGTATTTAAAATAGGTTTTCAAAGAGCAGTAGAGTGCTTGATATTTTAGAATTTTTACAAGCTTTGCTATGATTTTATTTTGTTTTCTAAGATCCTTTTGTCCCAAGCTATGCCAGAGATGACAGAGAAGGCGCCTCTGAAGAAGCAGCATCGGTAAGTGCTAAACTTACTGGGGTTAGTGCGATTGAATCAAGAGGTCAGTATATAGGGCAAGGTGGGATTCATACTTTGTTGGACAGCAATTCTCAAATAGCATGGGCAAGTGAATGAGGGCAGGGGGTGGTCAGCAATTGAAGAACCAAAAGTAAAAAAAAAACCTTAAATACATATATAGTTAATAATTGATATGGTATTACAAAGTAGCACTGTTACCTGATTATTTTTAAATTTTAGGGATCCAAATCTCTCTCTGATTCTGAAAGAAAATGTGGTAATGATATTTTAGGGGAAGCCTATCCTATTTGTTACTCTCCTTTTCACGGTTACTAAACAAAAACTTTTAAAACAATTACATTAAAATTTAAAAACAGTTAAAGCTTGTGCTCCAGCTGCACCCGGTACTTGGGAAGTCAGACTTGGCCACAGTGGTCCACGCTCTCGTTACATCTAGGATAGACTACTGCAACGCACTCTATGTGGGGTTGCCTTTGAAGACTGCTCGGAAGCTTCAAATAGTCCAACGAGAGGCAGCCAGGTTAATAATTGGGGCGGCATACAGGGAGTATACAACTCCCATGTTACGCCAGCTCCACTGGCTGCCAGTTTGCTACCGGGCACAATTCAAAGCCAGATTTTATTCACTTTCATGGTTTCCTCCTTTCTGTTGAAATTGTCCACATGCTTATGGATTTCAATGGCTTCTCTGTGTAGTCTGACATGGTGGTTGTGAGAGTGGTCCAGCATTTCTGTGTTCTCAAATAAAATGCTGTGTCCAGGTTGGTTCATCAGGTGCTCTGCTATGGCTGACTTCTCTGGTTGAAGGAGTCTGCAGTGCCTTTCATGTTCCCTGATTCATGTTTGGGCAATGCTGCGTTTGGTGGTCCCTATGTACCGCATTGCCCAGACACGCATCAAGGAACATGAAAGGCACTGCAGACTACTTCAACCAGAGAAGTCAGCCATAGCAGAGCACCTGATGAACCAGCCTGGACACAGCATATTATTTGAGAACACAGAAGTGCTGGACCACTCTCACAACCACCATGTCAGACTACACAGAGAAGCCATTGAAATCCACAAGCATGTGGACAATTTCAACAGAAAGGAGGAAACCATGAAAATGAATAAAATCTGGCTACCAGTATTAAAAAACTCTAAAATTACAACAGCAAAACAGCAGAGGGGAAACAATCTGGCATATCTAATCACCTCTCAACAAAAGATTGCCCCAGGCACTGCCAGGCCATCAAATGCTAATCAAGGTGGTCAGTTGAAATATTCACACCTAGCTCCAACAGTCCAGAGTTCTGTGTCCCATCCTGGTTATTCCACAGATATATAAACCCACTTTCCTAGTTCCAACAAACCTCACTACCTCTGAGGATGCTTGCCGTAGATGCAGGCGAAACGTCAGGAGAGAATGCCTCTAGACTATGGCCCTATAGCCCGAAAAAACCTACAACAACCCAGTGATTCCGGCCATGAAAGCCTTCGACAATACAATTTCTAAGGTGTTACAAGATCCCTTTGCATTCTATAAATTGTTAAATAAAAGCCAGCATGTCAAAGGTGCTGCCACATTTCTTTTTTTTCTCTCTCGCCTTTCTTGGATCAGATTAAAAACTGCCTGAAGTACACAGAAGTATTTGGTTACTGATGCAAGCTTGATTAAGGTTATTTCCCAATGTTCCCATCAAATACTGTTTCTTTTATTTTACTATATTCCTGTTTTTCCATTTGCCAGAAACAAATGTAAAATAAAAAGTTCTTTATCCTCATTTGACCCGAATTATAGGACAATAGTAAAGTGTGTCTATTTTTTTTCATGCTGTCTGTTAGAGTTTTGTTTTTGTTTTTTTACAGAAAGAAAAACCGTGAAACTCATAATGCAGGTAGGAGGTGCTTTTTTAATGCATGCAAATATTGGAGCTTTTAAATTATTTATTTATTTATTTATCATATTTATATACTGCCTTTCTCAATCTGAAGGTGACTTTTTTGCACTAAAAGAAAAAAAAACTCTAATTACTTTGAACATGCTGCCAATGTTCTGTTCTGTTTGTTTTTTCCCTAGTGGAAAGACATCGAAAGAAGAAGATTAATGCTGGAATAAATAAAATTGGTGAGCTAATTCCATGTTCCCCAGCACTGAAACAGGCAAGTAGTCCACTGCCAACATTGATTTATATAATATTGTTAGTGTGATCAAAATCTTAGTTGAATTAAATGAATTATGCATGTGGTTCAGGCACTGTACAGAACCATGTGTTTCCTTCTTCTAACTACATTTATATGGACCATATAATCTATGTTAAGTGACATTGCCTTACATTGGGGTCAAGATGATCCTCTGCTTTGTGTAGATGCCATGGAGCAATATCTCACCTTCCTTGTAGAAGGACCATCAGGGTGCCAACGAACCAGAAACTGTAGTTAACTATAGCTTGCTATTATATTGGACCTGATATTAATTATTAGTAGCCTGCAAACAAGCCAGGATATGGAAGCCAAGCTATATCTGTCACCCATTACATTGCTTCTTGTCTCTTCAACTTTCAGCCCTTCATTATGTCTTCAGATGCAACTGCTTTTGTCTCTAAGGCACACTTGTCAAACAGGCTGAAGCCATCCTGCCACATCCTTTTTTGTTTCAGGGCATTGAATGTTTGCCTTTTTTGCGTGTAAACCGCCCTGACTCCCTTTGGGGAGATAGGACAATCTATATCTATCTATCTATCTATCTATCTATCTATCTATCTATCTATATTATTATTATTATTATTATTATTATTATTATTATTATTATTATTATTATTTGAAACACAACAAGATGAGTCCACAGCAGACACTCTGCTGGCTGTTGAATTGGATCACATGTCGGACACTTCCTTAGTGTCTAGGACTGTGTGATGTATCGGCTATTATTATTATTATTATTATTATTATTATTATTATTATTATTATTATTGGCCTGAGAGGCTTTCAGTGCCAGAGCAACAGAGTTACATGTATACTGTCTTACACTTAAAAATGGTGCCTTGAAGACAACCATAAGACAGTGTTGGTGCGACCCAGCTCTAAGGGATACACCACCAGTGTCTGCCCCCTCAACATTGCTGCCTAGCAACTGTTTGGCCCACTGAGGCTGGCTCCTTAGCAAAAGCCTGTTTGACATGGGAGATCACACCAGCAGATTGCTACTGATTTATTTATTTATTTATTTCTGCTACTTATACCCCGCCCTTCTCACCCCCGAGGGGGGACTCAGGGCGGCTTACAAAAAGAAGGCACAATTCGATGCCCTTATCCAAATACATACATATATAAAACGATTACCATAATTAAGCAATTAACAGATTAAAAACATCAATATATAACACAATAGCACAACAATAAACAGTCTCATGGTCAGTGTTTCGAGTTCCATAGGTCCAATAGGTTTCGTCATTATTTGCCCATCATTATGGTCTTTCTTTTTAGCTGCCAGAGTTTCCAAAAGCCTGGTCCCACATCCAAGTTTTCAGCTTTTTCCTGAATGAGAGAAGGGAAGTCGCTGATCTGATCTCCCCGGGGAGTGAGTTCCACAGGTGGGGGGCCACTACCGAGAAGGCCCTGCTCCTCGTCCCCGCCAGTCTCACTTGTGATAAAGGCGGGGTCGAGAGCAGGGCCTCCCCAGAAGATCTTAGACTCCGAGGTGGGACGTAGAGGGAGATCCGTTCGGACAGATACACTGGGCCGGAACCGTATAGGGTTTTGTAGGTCAAAACCAGCACCTTGAATTGTGCTCGGAATTGGATCGGCAGCCAGTGGAGCTGGCATAACAGGGGGGTGGTATGCTCCCTGTATGCCACTCCGGTGAGCAATCTGGCTGCCTCCCGCTGGAGTAGTTGGAGTTTCCGAGCAGTCTTCAAAGGCAACCCCACATAGAGTGCGTTGCAGTAATCCAGCCTCTTGCTTTACAGGAGTATCCATTCATAGAATCATAGAATCCAAGAGTTGGAAGAGACCTCATGGGCCATCCAGTCCAACCCACTGCCAAGAAGCAGGAAAATTCGCATTCAAAGTACCCCTGACAGATGGCCACCCAGCCTCTGTTTAAAAGCCTTCAAAGAAGGAGCCTCCACCACACTCTGGGGCAGAGAGTTCCACTGCTAAACAGCTCTCACAGTCAGGAAGTTCTTCCTCATTTCAGATGGAATCTCCTTTGTGTAGGGGCCAACCCCAGGTCTCGGTGGTGGTCAGGGGAGCTTTTGCACGTACCTTGGGAAGTCTGACTTGGCCACGGTAGTCCATGCTCTGGTTACATCCCGTTTAGACTACTGCAACGCTCTCTACGTGGGGTTGCCTTTGAAGACAGCTCGGAAGCTCCAACTAGTCCAACGCTCGGCAGCCATGATTTTAACAGGAGCGGAGCGCAGGGAGCATACAACCCCCCTGTTGCGCCAACTCCACTGGCTACCGATCTGCTACCGGGCTGAATTCAAAGTGCTGGCGTTGGCCTTTACAGCCCTAAACGGTTCCGGCCCAAGCTACCTATCTGACCGCATCTCTGCCTATGAACCCACCAGGACTTTGAGATCTTCCGGGGAGACCCTGCTCTCGATCCCGCCTGCTTCTCAAGCTCGGCTGGCGGGGACGAGAGATAGGGCCTTCTCGGTGGTGGCTCCTCGGCTGTGGAACGCCCTTCCTACGGACATTAGACTAGCACCATCTCTAATGGTATTCCGCAAAAAGGTGAAGACCTGGATGTTTGTGCAGGCGTTTGAGTAATTTAGTGCAATCTGGTAATGGAACATAGGAATGGAACAATGGACGACGAACCTGGACTACGCTTGGATGATGAGAAGATTGGGTACGGTTGTTTTTTGTAATAATTGTGCATTGTAATTGCTTATTGGTAATTTATGGATAATGTGTTAAGTCAATTGTTATATGTTGTATGGAACCACTGCTGTTTCTACTGTTTTTTACTGTTTGTGAACCGCTGTGAGTCGCCTTCGGGCTTGAGATACAGCGGTATATAAGCAAAGTAAATAAATAAATAAATAAATACATTGTGTCCTAGTCTCCAGGGCAGCAGAAAACAAGCTTACTCCCTCCTCCCTATGACTTCCTCTCACATATTTATACATGGCTATCATATCTCCTCTCAGCCTTCTCTTCTTCAGGTTAAACATGCCCAGCTCTTTAAGCTGCTCCTCATAGGGCTTGTTCTCCAAACCCTTGATCATTTTAGTTGCATTCCCATCACTACAGAAAAGTAGTGGCATTGGTGGGTGATAAGACATAGTGATATATTTTTTTTCTAGGCCAGTTTATTTAATACAATGTTCTAATCCATATCAGTGGTTTATACTGATCATGTGAATGTAGTACTCATAGTAGCCTAAAGATTTATGGTTCTTTTCTCAAGAGGAAATAGACAATCCTACTTGCCTTAAAAACAGTAGTAAGTAAACATTACATGTTAATGTAACTTAATCTTTAATTATCTCAGTCAAAAGAAATGTTGAAGGTTTGTAGAGAGCAGTCCTGTCCAAGTTTCAAAGCGTGTCACTTTAATGTTTTTCCTAATTATCCGTATTTTGTCCTACAGAGTAAAAACATGATTCTCGATCAAGCATACAAATATATAACCGAAATGAAGAGGCAAAATGATGAACTTCTCTTGAATGGAGGAAATAATGAGCAAGGTGAATAATGTACTTTATACAAAATGGGGATGAATTTTATTTGAGCTCTCTTTCCCATTCAATTAGGAGCTGCCATAGAGGATACTGTGACACAGGAATTCATATACCGTACGGCCTACCCGAATATAAGGCCGAGGTACCTAATTTTACCACAAAAAACTGGGAAATCTTATTTGCTCTCTTTCCCATTCAATTAGGAGCTGCCATAGAGGATACTGTGACACAGGAATTCATATACCGTATATACTCGAATATAAGCCTACCCGAATATAAGGCCGAGGTACCTAATTTTACCACAAAAAACTGGGAAATCTTATTGACTCGAGTATAAGCCGAGGGTGAAAAATGCAGCCGCTACTGGTCAGTTTGACAGATGACCACCCAGTTTTCTGTCATTCCCTCCCCCCTCGCGGAGCATGAGCTTTCCTCGGCGGCGGCAGAGGAGAAGGAAGCCCCTGAGGCAGGCTTTTCCGCAGGCTTGCTCTTCTTCTTCCTGGTCCCATGCGCGGCTGTGGTGGCGGGGGCAGCGGCGGGAGGAAGCAGAAAAGCCGCGCATGGGGTGAGGGGGGAGGGGAAAGTGCTACCGCTTCCCTTCCTCTCTTGCTTGCACATGCACCTTCTTCCTTGTCCTATGTGCGGCCATGGTGGAGGGGGCAGCAGCGGGAGGACACAGGAAAGCCGCGCATGGGGCGAGGGGGGAGGGGCAAGTGCACGCCACTCCCCTTCCTCTCTTGCCGCGCGCGCACCTTTTTCGGCGGCGGAGGCAGGAAAGACGCGCAAGGGAGAAGGGAAAGGTGCGCACCTTTCTCTCCTCCCATGCCCTGTGTGCGCCTTTACCGCCGCTTCCGAGGAAGACGCAGCGGCCTTTCTCTCCTCCCATGCCCTGTGCATGCCTTTACCGCCACTGCTGCGTCTTCCTAGGCAGCGGCGGTAAAGGCGCGCACAGAGCATGGGAGGAGAGAAAGGCATGCACCTTTCCCTTCTTCGTGTGTCTTTCCTGCCTCCGCCGCCGAAAAAGGTGCGCGCGCAGCAAGAGAGGAAGGGGAGTGGCGTGCACTTGCCCCTCACCCCATGCACGTCTTTCCTGCGTCCTCCCGCTGCTGTCCCCTCCACCGTGGCTGCACATGGGACAAGGAAGAAGGTGCGTGCGCGGCAAGAGAGGAAGTGGAGCGGTGAGCACTTTCCCCTCCCCCCTCGCTCCATGCACGACTTTTCTGCTTCCTCCCACTGCTGCCCCTGCCACCGCAGCCACGCATGGGACCAGGAAGAGGGAGAGCAAGCCTGCGGAAAAGCCTGCCGCAGGGGCTTCCTCCTGCTCTGCCGCCGCTGAGACTGCCGAGGAAGGCTTGCCTTTCCCTCCTCCTCTGTCATTCCCTGACCCGAATATAAGCCGAGGGGAGGTTTTTCAGCCTGAAAAAAAGGCTGAAAAACCTGGCTTATATTCGAATATATATGGTAATGAGTTGCCTTCCTTTAGCATTTGAATGACTTGAAATTATCCCTCTTATCTGGTGGCACTTCCAGCCCCCAACGATGACAATTAGCTGCTAGTCTGTGTCATAATAGTATTCTCCCCTTTAGGTTGAAGTTGCTAACTCAAATTTTTGTCCAGATTATTTGAGTTCTTTTGAAAGCACTCTGCTCCTCCTGTAAATAGTTGTACCATCATTTTGAAACACCCTGTAGATGGAAGACATGGACATGGCAAGTCTTACTAAAAATATTTTCCTCTGGATGTAGTGATTCTCTTTTCCAAACAATTCTTAGTTGAATGAATGAAGCATGGTTAAAAGAGCCAGCACAATTAAATAAAGATTAATTTTTAAAATAAACAAACAAACAAATAAATAAAGACTGTTGTAGGTATTGTTAATGATTCCATGTAGTGCTACTTGCATTTATTTATCTTATTGTCTATGTGTTTTTAATTGCTTGTATTGTTGTTGTTTTTGCTTGTTATTACTGTGTTGTGGGCTCGGCCTCATGTAAGCCGCACCAAGTCCCTTGGGGAGATGGTAGCGGGGTACAAATAAAGTGTTGTTGTTGTTATTATTATTATTATTATTATTATTATTATTATTATTATTTGTTCTTAAAAATGTACAGCTGTTGTTATTTTTCTAAGAGTCTTTGATTACTGGTATTTTTTATTTGCTTTGCAGCTGAAGAAATAAAAAAGCTGAGAAAGCAGCTGGATGAACTCCAGAAAGAAAATGGGCGCTTTATATCGTTATTGAAAGCCAATGACATTTGCCTTTATGATGATCCTACTATCCATTGGAAAGGGAACCTGAAAAATGCAAAAGTTTCTGTCGTTATCCCAAATGATCAGGGACAAAAGAAGAAAGGAAATCTGAAAAGTGCAAACATTTCTGTTGTCATCCCCAGTGATCAACTGCAGAAGAATATAATTGTATATTCCAATGGCAGTCAGCTTAATGGAAGTAATCAGGGGGCTTCTGTCCAGGGAATAACTTTTAATATCAGTCCTAATTTGCAGAAGCAGACGGCTAATGTTGTTCCTGTCCAGAGAACCTGCAATCTGGTTACTCCCGTGACTATTTCAAGTATTTACTCCACAGAAATCAAGTCAGGGGGTCAATTCCCAGTTTCTCAATTGGCTTCAGGCCCGTCAAATCCAACCAAGGAGATTCTTGAGCACTCTGCCTCTGAGAATGAGCAAAATGTATCTGTTTGTACGACTTCCAGCTCAGTGAATGCCTTGCCTGTCATGAGGATACAGCCTGAAATGCAAAGTTCAGCACAAGAAGAAGATACCTCCAAATCTAAAAATAGTCAGGAGAGCTTTGGGACTATTGAAGATGTGAGTGTGCCCAACGGCATCCTTCCTTCTAATGCTAATGTGAACCTATCTCACTCTCACCTGGCAGAAACAGCTTCTAAAGAAGATTCAGAAAGTGGGTCCCTAGAAAGCTGTATTGTTTCGACGCCTGAGGCAATTTGTACCCCATTGGTTTATGAAAAACCCTCGACAGAAAAGAAAATCCGAAGCAGTGAAGCACCTGCAGCATCTGCAGCAGACATCTTGAAGTCGGGAACAGAAACCCACACATTACCTGCTACTACCTTAGATAAGTGGCCTTTCCCCAGTTCCTCCAGTGTTGGTTCTCCAGGCTCACAAAGTCTCGGAGGCCTGGCACGGATCACCTCAGCTGGTAACACCCAAACCACCTGGACTACTTTGCAGCTGACAGGGAACACTGTTCAGCCTGTAAACCATACTCTACCCAACATTATGACAACCCTCTTAAATGAACCAGTTAGTGATGCTAGTACTATAGCTCCTACTCCTAGCAGGATTTTGGCAACTTCTACCGGATTTAATAATCTTCAGCCTGCCGAAGAACAGACAGCTGATCAAATTGTGGCTACTTTGCCATCCTACCCGCCCTTACCTATGCAGCCATTGGTCACAAAAGCACAGGTTGTAGCTCAGCCTGCAGGTGGCCTTCTTTCTCTGAACTCAGCTATGCAGGTGATCCAGATGCCACAGCCAGTAGGTCCGCCTGTTGCTGTGCCATCCGCTAATCAAAATGTGGTTATTCTACAGCCACCCAATGCCAGCCCCTGTCCACCAGTGTTAAGGACTGACCTCCCCAACCAGACTGTTAGCCAACAAATTGTAATTATACAGACAGCTAACCCAAATCCTCTCTCCCTGTTTTCTGCCCCACCTCCTGTCAGAATGCCGGTGAATGGAGCCTCACTCCTAACACATGTTGGCAATTCTATGCAAAATTCCTCTAGCCCTCAGATGTTTGGGGGAAAGCATCTTGTCCATATTTTACCAAGACCATCTTCTTCTTCTCCTTCATCTTCTGGCTTGACACAAACACTTTCAGTTGCAATGTCTAATCAACAGCTTCCACAAACTATTTCTTTAAATGGGCAGCTGTTTGCCTTGAAGCCTGTGAAGTCCTGTTCTGGAAGTTCAGATCAAACCCCTATGCAAATTATTCAACCTACTACCAGTGAAGATCCAAATACCAATGTTGCCCTCAATACATTTGGTGCTTTAGCTAACCTCAATCAAAGCATATCACAAATGGCTGGGCAGAGCTGCCTGAAGGGGTCAGCCAATCCGCATGTCAATCCACCTGCAGTTAGCAGCCAAAGCACACCAAGTAAGCCTGTATTGCTGCCGTCCACAACTGCGCCCTCCTCAACCAGTGAGAGCTCTGTATTAAGTAGTGTTTCGCATTCAGAAGAGACTTTACCCCAAAAATCCTCTCTTCATTTAAGTGCAAAATGTTCTAACAAAAACTCAAGTACTAGAAAATGCTCAATGTCTGGCACCAATCTTGCATGCCAAATGAATTCTTCCAAAGATTCGAAGAAACTTAATAATGTGAATGTGGATGCTCCATGTGAAAATTCAGTAAGTGACAGTTTGCTTGAAAACATGCCTGCTAATGCGTTACAGAGCTTTGTCTTGCCACAGACAGATGGCAGGATCTCATCTAATGACACAAATACTTCTGATTCTCAATCCAAAGGGGGACTGAGTGTTGAACAACACGTAGACTCTGTTCTGTCATCTGACTTGAATGCAATTGTCATGCCTCAATCTTTGCCCCTCGTATCATCATCATCATCGGGACAGTTTGAACGAGTTGCTCCCGTTTCCACAGGCTGTGATTCTCCAAGACTTCAAACATGCAAAGTTCAAACCCATTCAATACCGAGTTCAGAGTTATCAGAATCATCCAAATGTATTTCGATCAGCCCCTTGCCATCCTCTTCTTCTATCTCACATTTGACAATTTCTCAGACTTCGGTGTCATCTGTTACAAATGGGGGGATAAGTGCAGAGAATATTCCTAGAACAGATGTTTCGGATATCTGCAGAGCAGAGCAAAGTTGTTCCATAGTAATGCAGGCCACAGATTTGTTGGAAGAACAAGGCCTAACTAAGATGCTGTCTGATTTTAGCAAAGTGGGGGAGGTTGTGGAAAAGAACTTTTCAGTAGAGCACACAGGCTTTTGCACCCAAAGGACTAAATCAATTCTAGACTCAAGTGATGAATTGACAGGGAAGGAGGAAGGCCTCTTGTTGATGAATACTGAAGAGGAAAATCTTGCCCAGAGTCATTCCTGCTCCTCTGAACAGGAAACGGTTGCCGCCAACAGGCAAGCGGACTCTCCCATGTCTACTAGCTCAGGCTCCAGTTGCGGTTTCTCGGTAGCCTCCATGTTGCCAGAAACTTGTAGGGAAAGCGTGCCTAATAGCACTTCGGTGAATACATGTAACAGCTGTACATTTTCAGAACAAACAGATATTGTTGCACTTGCGGCAAGAGCCATTTTTGACCAAGAGACACTGGTAAAAGAAACAAGAACTCCTGCTTCCAAAGCTGATGATGTGGGAAGAGAGCAGTCTTTGAAGTCCCACGTAACTAAAAACGTAGACCAAATAGAAATCGCACCAAACAACTTTAATGCTCAGAATTCTAATGCTCAGAATTCAGTACAAGTAAACAATAATAGGTCAGCTGAAAAACAAAGCTGTTCTATAGAAGTAGAAATGTCTAGCACAGCTTTGCAAATTCCAACCCCCCAGTCTTCAAGCACATCAAGCTTGAGTGTTAACAATCTCATACACCAAACTTGCATCATCAACCCTGCTGTCAGCTGTTCAAGTTTACCCTCACCATCAAACCAAGTGACTCAGTCCATGACTGTCAATTCATATATGAATCAATCTCCAGGCCAGTCGCCAGCACTAATGACAGAGTATGCTTCAGAACAGCTGTCTGCTCTTCAAACCAGCACCATGCAGGCTCCTCTGTTGCGTGAGCCACAGTTGAAACAGCAGGGCCAGGGAAGCCGCAAAGACTCAGCAAAGCGTGCAGTTCAAGATGATCACCTGCTTTCCACACCAAAGAGACAGAAACAGTGCCAGACAGCACCTCTGCAACTGGAAGACATGGGTCTGCTCCACCAAACATCTGATAATATTTCAGATCAGAATCAAATCCTTGTCAATCAAATCCCCAACTCTTCCAACCTTGCAGTGGCAGTAAGTAGTCAAGGGCATACTGATGGCCATAGCAGGTTATTTCCCAGCAATAATTTTGTGCCACCTGCTCTGAGGCAAGCTGAAGTTCAGTGTAATTCTCAGCCTTCTGTCTCAGATCAGGCAGGGCAGCATTTGTCAACTATTCAACATACTCCTGCTCAGAGCATAGCTCACCTTCATAGTAACCACCCATATATAAAGCAGCAACAGCAGCAACAACAGCAGCAAGCTGGGCAACTAAGAGAGAGACATCAGTTATATCAGCTCCAGCATCACATTTCTCATGCAGAAACATCTATCCACTCTCAAGCCCACATTGTCCACCATCAAAGAGTAATGCATCAAGAAGTACAAATGCAAAAGAAAAGAACTCTTGTCCAAGGAGCCCACCCCACCACACTTCCTTTACAACAGAAGCATCATGGAAATGACCAGCGGTCAAAGACCAACCAGTCTCACGCCCATCACTCACAATTGCAGCAGATGCAGCAGCACTATGCCTCTTCCCAGTCTGAGAAGAGCTGTGAGAATCCTACAACAAACAGATCTCACCATAGCCACCCGCAAAGCCACCTGAATCAAGATCTTCTGCATCAGCAGTCACCAGATGTGGGCAACAGGCAATCAGGTTCAGGAGTTTCTTCTGAGCATGTGCCAGGACATAACCAGATTCAGAGGCTTATGACCTCCAGGGCTTTGGAGCAGCAGATGGTGTCCCAACCCAGTATTGTCACCAGGCCATCAGACATGGCCTGTGTTCCTCATAGGCAAGAAAGAAATAGAGTCAGTAGCTATTCTGCAGAGGCACTTATTGGGAAATCCCCATCTAATTCAGAGCAGAGGTTGGGGATATCCATTCAAAGTTCGAGGGCCTCGGAGCATCTTGAAATGAGAAATTTCCTGGATGTGTCTCGGAATAAAGGGTTGGCAATTCATAATATGCAGGGTCGAATGTCTGTAGAACATACAGTTGGATCAGATGTTCAAAGGCTTTCTGAATGCCAGACATTCAAAACAAATGGCACAAATCAACAGTCCACAAGCAATTTTGATGTACAGTCCTCAAGAAACAGTGAAATAGGTAATTCCATGCCCACCCTCAGGGCTATGCAGACACAGGCTTTTCGAATTGCTCAAAATGCTGGTTTGCCTTTAGACAGACAGAAGAGATTGCCGTATCAGCCGGTTCAGGGCATTTCATCAGGAAACGCTCTTCCTCCTTCAAGGGACAATGAAAATACATGCCATCAAGGCTTCATGCAGAGTTTACTTGTCCCTCATCTTGGAGATCAAGCCAGTGGAAGCCAGCGACCCATTTCAGAGCATCAGAGAAATTCACAGTGTGCGTCTGCTTCAAACGTTGAATATAATTGTTCCCCAGCAAGAGACAGTATTCACATTCGAAGAGAAGGCGATGGGCAGAATCGGGAAAGTTGTGACATGTCTCTTGTTACTATTAATAGTCGGAACAATTCTTTAAATATTCCCTTTTCAAGTTCTTCTGGAGATATTCAGGGCCGCAACTCAAGCCCCAACATTTCTGCTCAGAAATCCAATCCTATGCGAATGACAGAAAGTCATGGAACAAAGGGACACATGAATGCTCCAGTTTCCAGCAATGTTCATGGTATTATCCGACCTCCTCTTCAACATCCACCAGTCTCTCGTGGGAATGCTGACCAAGTCCCACCATCCATTCGGCAGCCAAATTCTTCAGCTACTCAGCGATCAAGGCATCCTCTGCAGGATAGCAGTTCTAAAGTACGCCAGCCTGAAAGGAACCGTTCTGGCAATCAAAGACATGGTGGCATGTTTGATCCTAGTCTTCCTCACCTTCCTCTGGCTGCTAGCAGCAGTATGATCCTTGGACGGCAACAGCCTGCCCTAGAGAAAAGAAGCAGCATTGTGAGATTCATGTCTGAAGGAGCACAAGTGTCTAATGAAAGTGTGGTTCCTGATCAGCAGTCTCTCTCCCAAAACTTTGGATTCCCTTTTATTCCTGAGAATGGAATGAATCCCCCAATAAATGCCAATACGTCATTCATTCCACCTGTGACTCAGCCCAATGCTACTCGGACACCAGCTCTGATTCCAGTAGATCCTCAAAATACTCTGCCATCTTTTTACCCTCCATATTCTCCTGCCCATCCCAGCCTGTCCAATGACATTTCGCTACCTTACTTTTCGAATCAAATGTTTTCTAATCCAAGCACAGAGAAACCCAATGGTGGAACTTTAAATAATAGGTTTGGCTCTATCTTATCTCCTCCCAGACCAGTTGGTTTTGCCCAGCCAAGTTTCCCCCTTTTGACAGACATGCCCCCAATGCACATGGCCAATTCATCACACTTATCCAATTTTAATTTGACTTCTTTATTCCCAGAAATAGCAACAGCTCTTCCTTCAGATGGTTCAGCAATTTCACCTTTGTTGTCAATAACAAATACTTCTGCTTCTGACACTTCCAAGCAATCATCGAACCGCCCTGCTCATAACATAAGCCATATACTCGGTCACGATTGCAGTTCAGCTGTATGAAATACAGAGTTAAAATGATGGTATGTCTGTGCATAATGTATTTTGTATATATATTTGGAGTTGCTACCCCTGAAGTTATCTCTTGTTTGTTAGAAAGGTGTCTAACAAACAGTTACTTCTCAGTTTGTCCATCCCCATGTTGCTACCTATGAGTGCCTATGTCAGTATTCACTCATGAAAACAACATTTTCATCTGGGTTGTTGTGTGTTTTCCAGGCTCAATGGCCATGTTCCAGAAGCATTCTCACATTTCGCCTGCATCTATGACAGGCATCCTCAGAGGTTGTGAGGTCTGTCGGAAAGTAGGAAAATGGGGTTATATATCTGTGGAATGTCCAGGGTGGGGAAAAGAATTCTTGTCTACTGGAGCTAGGTGTGAATGTTTCAACTGACCACCTTGATTAGCATTTGATGGCTTGTTAGTGCCTGGGGGAATCTTTTGTTGAGAGGTGATTAGATGTGCTTGATTTCCTCTCTGTTGTTTTGCTGTTGTAATTTTTGAGTTTTTTAATACTGGTAGCCAGATTTTGTTCATTTTCATTAAATGCTAATCAAGGTGGTCAGTTGAAACATTCACACCTAGCTCCAGCAGACAAAAGTCCTTTGTCCCACCCTGGTCATTGAACAGATATATAAACCCATTTTCCTACTTCCAACAGACCTCACTACCTTCTGAGGATGCTTGCCATAGATGCAGGCGAAACGTCAGGAGAAAATGCCTCAGAACATGGCCATATAATCCGGAAAAACCTACAACAACCCAGTGAAGTCGGCCATGAAAGCCTTCGACAATACATTTTCATTTCTCTTTAAAGCACACACATCTGATGGTTCTAGACCAGTGGTTCTCAACCTGGGGTCCCCAGAAGTTTTTGGCCTACAATCCCAGAAATCCCAGCCAGTTTACCAGCTGTTAGGATTTCTGGGAGTTGAAGGCCAAAAACATCTGGGGACCCCAGGTTGAGAACCACTGTTCTAGATCATTGCCAGTTGCAGCCCTGTTTAAAATAGGATGTGTGAAGCAAAAACTTTGCATTTTTTTTATCTTTGGGATGCATTTTTGAAAAGATTTAGGACTACAGGTGCACCTCTTGGGAACAAAAGTTTTGAGATCATTTGATAGCTTCTTGCAATTAAAGACTGTCATAGGGTTGCCTATAGCACATTCTTGGTATATATGTACAAAGCCTAATGCTATACCTGAGGAGCTGTATGAAAAATGTGTAATTGAAAAGATTACTTCTCTTTGGAAACATCTGCTTGAGTGACCTGCTTCAGTGTGATTTTTAAAGCACCAGCTCCTGTTAGCAGTGCTGAAAGTTTAAAAAAGAATATACACAAGTGGTTTCTCCATTCCTTTAGACATGGCATTCATTCTTGCTGTCATTGGTTTACAAGCTGTGAATTTTCTCAGGTATCCCACTTTTCTTTCTTGCTTAGTGCTTTCTTACGGAGAGATGTGGGCTTCCTTTCCCCCAAAATTATCTGTTGTAACACAACAGCTTTTAATATTATGCTAGGAATCTTGATGTTAATACTATAGGACAATACAAAGGAAACATTACATGTTTATTTATACGGATTACTTTGCATTTTGTAACAGTCTCTTGAGGGAGAGGGACGGGGTTCAAGCATTTGACAAACTGAAAGGATCTTGAGATGAGCAGTGAGTGGAGTGGGAATGGGAATGCCACCTAGAAACTGAGTGGCTTAAAAAACCCACACATTGCATAATTTAATGGACAATCTCTTATGATTAGTACAAACATTTGATTGCATAAAGCAAACAGAAATATTGTTTATATCTGGGTTGTTGTAGGGTTTTTTTCGGGCTGTATGGCCATGGTCTAGAGCAGTGCTTCTCAACCTTGGGTCCCCAGATGTTTTTGGCCTACAACTCCCAGAAATCCCAGCCAGTTTACCAGCTGTTAGGATTTCTGGGAATTGTAGGCCAAAAAACATCTGGGGACCCCAGGTTGAGAACCACTGGTCTAGAGGCATTATTTATTTATTTATTTATTTATTTACTCCATTTGTATACCGCATTTATCAGCCTGAGGCGGCGACTCAATGCGGTTTACAATAAATAAGCAACACTGACAATATATAAGACACACATACACAAACAACACACATATAATCATCAACGCCTCAATTAGAGTCAGATCCCGTTCTCATAGTCCTTTTTTCGTTCCTTGTTCAATGCCGTTTTACTGAGTTAGTTGTCATTGCATATTCATCCAAATGCCTGCTCGTAGAGCCACGTCTTAACCCTCCTCCGAAACACCAGCAACGAAGGAGCCTGCCTGATGTCCACTGGTAGGGCATTCCATAGCCGAGGGGCCACCACCGAGAAGGGGCCACCACCACCTGCATCTATGGCAAGGCAAAACGTCAGGAGAGAATGCCTCTAAACCATGACCATACAGCCCCAAGAAACCTACAACAACCCAGTGATTCCGGCCATGAAAGCCTTCGACAATACATTGTTTATATCTAACTCTGTCTCCATAGCTAGGCTCTGGTGATGGCAGTCCTTGGCCCAAGCAATTTCGTTGCTTGATTTTACATTTCTTTGCTTACCCTTATGTTTCCCAGTGAATAGTCAAAATATTCATCTTTGATCAGGCAGGCTTTGTTTCATGTCTCTTTGTGGTGTTTCAGGATGAATCTGCCTTGGAGTAGTGGTTTGGCGATGATCTTTGAAGCATATCACATCTGTTAAGGCCATAGGTTCTAAAAAAATTCTTGAGAACTATATTTTTAATAAGAAATCTGGAATGGCAAACCTATCCAGAAATAGGAATCGCTTTGTAGGAACTGTGTATTTTAAAACCTTTGGATGGCCAAGCTGTTTGGGAGTTAACTTTCCAATATTTCTTATGGTCTATATCAGTGGTTCTCAACCTGTGGGTCCCTAGATGCTTTGGCCTTCAACTCCCAGAAATCCTTACAGCTGGTAAACTGGCTGGAATTTCTGGGAGTTGTAGGCCAAAACACCTGGGGACCCACAAGTTGAGAACTACTGGTCTATATGGTAACAGCTTCCAAGGTCCTACATTAGTGGTTCTCAACCTGGGGTCTCCAGATGTTTTTGGCCTACAACTCCCAGAAATCTCAGCCAGTTTATCAGCTGTTAGGATTTCTGGGAGTTGTAGGCCAAAAACATCTGGGGACCCCAGGTTGAGAACCACTGTCCTACATGCTAATACTTAAAGCATGAGAAAACTCAGGTCTATTTCCTTGGTCTGTAGAAGACATGCCTACAATGCAAATGTCTAGGAGTACTTCAGAACTTGGTGAGTCAGCAATCTCTAGACAAGAATTCTCCATGGAAGAGGTTAGTGGAGATAAGCCTGACATCAATGGGTTGCACATAGAACTGTTGAGAGCAACCATGACTTACGTGGAGGGTCCATGTGTTGTGGTAGCCATTTTGCTTTAGTCTAGACTGCCTGGGTATGTTCCCAAGTGCATATTGTATGAATGACTGTCAGTCAGGATTTATGGTATAAGAGTTGTAACAGAAAAAATTGATTTCATGTTTATTATCTCATGCAAAAAAATGCTGATCTTTTCAATGGGCACCCTAACTTATTGCAGCATATTCTTTTTATTGCTTTTGTTCAGCCATTAGCAAAGGGCTTCTTCGTATTATGAGAAAAATAAGGGAGCAGTCTTTTTGGATGCGTTTCTGCTATTTTATGTCAGCTCCATATTTTTGTTGTGGAAAGCTCTTCTCATAGCCATTTTTAGTAACAAGGAAACAGTTGGCAGAGGTATATTATGCTTTGTATTTTGTCCAGTAATGCCAGCCCCTCGAACAATAAGCACTTGAGTATTTCTTATCAATCATCATACCTTGGAACTACAGATAAGAAGACTGCTTCACATCTGTGTAGTCTAAAGATAATTCTGTAACATCAGTTTAATGTGGTATAATTGACCACAGAAATTCTTTTGGCCAGGACAGTGAATTTTTTCTTCATGTTCAACTATTGCCATTCCCTATTGTCCCCATATACGAGGGGTATTTTTTAAGTAAGGTCTGTTTGCACATAAGTACACAACGAAAGTTTATTTCAAAAAAGTAAATTTATTTTCAGACAGTACATACTTCACTCTATTTTTCGACATAGTTGCCAAGTTTGTTCAAACACTTATCATACCTCTGAACCAATTTTAAAATACCCTCTTCATAAAAACTTGCCGCCTGCTCAGATAACCAAGAGTTCACTGTAATCAAAGAAGGGCGACCGGAGCGGTCCTCATCATGGACGTTGTCACGGCCATCTTTGAATTGTCGTACCCACTTACGCACTTTGCTTTCACTCATAACAGTATCACCGTACACTTCACAAATCTGTCGATGAATTCTTGCTGACAAAAACCGTATCACTGAGCGAACCTCACATGCGGAGGGTGAGTTGATAGTCTTAAACATTTTTAAACAACAGAACAGAACCGTACAGGTTAGCTACAGAGCGGAAACTGAGCACAGTTGTTCCCGAGGCATGCCGGTACACGACACGCACTCGTTGCGGTATGCGCGCGAACTACTAGTGTCTACAACAAAACGGACCTTACTTAAAAAATACCCCTCGTATTTCTAAATTTCTCTCAGTGCAGTTGAATTGGAAATGCTCTTTCTAGAGAATTGCTGTTCCAAATGCAGGTGAAGTCCCGAGGGTGACGGTTGCATGTTTTCAGGTGAGCAGCTTGAATAATCACTTGAACAGCTTATGCATGTCAGGCTGGCTCCAGAGAATGTGTTGCAGGAGTGGATAAAACCATTATTACCTCCATCCTGGCTGCCCACAAGGAAGCTTCGTTGTAATGGGAGGTGGACTGTGGCATAACAGGATGAGCAGGAACAAGAGAGCATGGGAAACTTGAGGGTGGCATGTTGGATGTGGGGAGTTCCACACTGACTTTTTTTGGGTAGTCTTCCCTTTCTCTAAACTACCCATGTCACGACCCACTTCATATAGCTGGATCTTCCAAACCTAAGGGAGGGGAGAGA